TATATGTTGGATTAATTACAGTCAATTAGTTCCCACTGTTTCATTCCGAGTTTGAATTTCTCAGATGCACCAATGTAGTTCAACTAAGAGAAATGTTTTCCAGTCAAAGGTGTTGCCATCACATGTCTCATTGAAAACACTAAGTAGTGAAACAACACTTTGCACTCTTGCTCAGTTTGAGTTACTGGATATAACATAGATGATCACAATTCTGTGAAATAGGGGTAGAAAATGATTATAAAGATCAAGCTATGTTTAGCACTGCATTTGTGAAAATATTTAGACAAATTTATGTGGATTTCACCAGTAAGAAATGGTCACGAAATAGGTGACGACAAAATTCTCGACCATCGTAGCTTTCTGATACGCCACTTGTCTCATAAAGACGTGATTTGTCAGAACAAACAAACAGCAAAATATTGCATACAAAATTAATTGACAATAGGAAAAACACAACCTGACCTCCGAAAGCATATGATCTGTCTCCATACGTGTTCACCATTGCTCACAAATCACTGTCAAACATCTGAAACACGTCCAATTAGATGTGCTTTTTCAAATCCACTCGTTTGTGTATCATTTTCTACTGTCAAATCTCATTTTCGGATTTAGCAGTTCAGAAGTCCACATTATCTAGGGATTTTAGACTGTACATCTTAATCTCAATCTAGATATTTTGTTTCTTTCTATTTATCATTTTATATGCACATAGTCAGGACTAGTTATCTAGGTAGTAGAACGGAAATTTCATAAACTACAAAATTCCATCTTATAGAATCCAACACCTGAGTAGTACTGATTAATCCTAACGTTTCCAATCACAATAACCTAAAAGCTAATCAAAATCTGATTTACAATTTCACACTAAGTAACATTGACTCTCCACACTAACATATTTTGGAATACGACTATACATTTACAAACAGAAAAACTTCATTGTCAAACGCTGTTCAGTTAGAACTTATACTCGTAGATAAATCACCTGAACACACACGAAAATGGAAAGTTTGGGGATGTTTGTTTTATTAATGAAGACATGTATTAGCATAATCCATTGTGTTAACTTCCACTTCAGGTCTGATAGTTAAATGATAGTGAAATGTCTAAATAGATAGGATTACTTACGTCATAACCACACCAACTTCCGAAACCTATAGATCTACTGTAGGTTAACAGTTTTATTATTTTCATGAGAAGTCCCTAATTCGTTCTTATAATAAATTATCTAATGGAATTTTAATAGCAAACAGATTTGAAGCTAACTTCATAAAACAATGAAATGCATAATACTACATTCCACTAAACTCTGCATGTAGCTCTCCTAGAGATACCGCCGCTCCCAAGCCTGAGTAAAGGAGGAGGGTTGGGGATGAGGTCGGCAACCCTATCCCGTAGAAAAATGTCATGCTAAAATACGCCAACCAGATTCAACAAATTAATCTCTTCCCTGGGATTTGAAGGAAGAATTATGACGCCTCATGACGAATGAGGATATGTGTTAACCCAATCCATTGTGTTAACTTTCACTTCAGGTCTGACAGTTATATGACAGTCAAATGCCAAAATAGATAGGATTACTTATGTAGTAAAAACTTTCAATTCATTTGAAAACGTACATGACTTTTAAATATTCTGTTAGTCATAACATTTCAGAACTTTTTTTTACTATTGATTGTTAATAAACGAACTCCCATATGAATTATGAAGATTGGATAATACGTTGTGATCAGAAACACATATTGGATAGTATATTTTAAAATGTATATTTTCATATGTGTTACTTATTTACGCCTGTTACCCCTGACCATGAAGTTCATAATTCAACTTAACGTAAACCTGATTCAAGTTAACATTGCAAACTAGTCATTAAAACACCAAATTTTGTATAACCATCCTAAGTTCACATGCTATGACTTTAAACGATGAACACTGCCGTAAATCTGGTGTTAAGTATGTTTTCTATTCTCCATCCATATTCACTTCTCTCCGACTCTTTTGCATATTGTTTCATACTACTTATTTACATTCAGTAAATAGTAGTATTCCTAGTAATTCCTACACATATGCTTTATCGCAAGTTTGTCCTGTAAGATTCTGAGATGTTTACATATACTTATAACATCTATTGCTTTTATCATCATAATTACTTTATCTCAATCATTGTAACAGTTATCCACGATTTTGTACATTTGCTTAACCCTTGTTTAAACGCAACGGTTTCCACATTGTTTGCACTTGGTTCGGTTTTTGCTTGTTGATAAACTGTTACCAAGTTTAGACGCAACTAACAGCTGTCTTTTGCACTATCGAAGCCATTTCTTATTTCATACAAAAGGACACGGTAAACGCAGTAGACACCTCATAAGATGAGATTTGTAACTAAGTTTTGTATATTATTCAACAAAGAACCGCCATTTTAGACAAATCGTTGAATCTCCATTGGATGAATTGGACGCTTCGATAGAACTAACACCTCGCCAGTTTTCGCATTAATAACTGGCATTTATTCATTGAATATTCTCCATTCATACATTAGTCTTTTAATATGACGGGGATTTTTAAACAATATGCAAAGTACATTTTATCATAAGCTTTCACAATCTCATAATGGGTTGAAAACACCTAACACCTTTTCGTTTTTGTCCACACATTCAACATCAACCAGTATTTGTACGTTTTGTCATAGTTATATGTTGCATAGGAAACCATGGTGGATGTGTGAGTGAGAAACTGATTTCAACAGAAAAAGTCTTGCTAGAACCTATTGTAAAATTTTTATTTTTCTTCTCTTAACCATCCATCTGTAACTTCTTCAAAATATATAGCTTTTTCAGATCAATTCGTGTTGCATAGCTTTGATAAAGCTGATTTTAATCCAGAAGTCAGAGATTACGAGATACGGTTTGTTACATTCTCGTTGCCTATCACTTATACTTAAAACGATAAACCACTACAATTCACACGCCGTAAAATAGGAACAAAACCGACTGGGACGAGTGAAGATCCATTCACTCGAAAAGACGATAAACAAAGTCGGAAATACCCGCACTAGCATATTCATTTGTAAATCAATTAGATTATTGATTACAAAATAGCCACATATGAAAAATGCCCAGAATCATGACAAATACTGCACCGACTAATCACCATACTAAATTAGAAACAGAACTAATGTTGAATAGAAATCACAATGAGTGGTAAATGTAATTTTTTCTTCTCATGCCGTCATATCACGGTTTGCACATATTTTATACGCAATAAACACTTCCTTCGCGTTTTTCGATTGTAGAATTGAATGAAATATGTCTTGCACCAAAGTACAAAAACGTTTCTATATTCTAGCTGGTAATTCATAAATCATGCACACCTAAACTGCCTTCATTTATTTCAACGCTATTTTATTTATTAAAACCGAGAACTTCCTTAAACTATGAGAGAGCACGACTAAACCTTAGACTGACTATCTTTAGATCTTTGAGAAGTGCAGTACCTCAAGAATCAGCGCTTGTATAAATGCTCTCTCATGTGTATGTATATATAAATATATATACAAAGACCAGAATTGTTTTTATTCAGGGAATAAGACTTGCAATATATGCTGTTTAAATGTCTAGTTACCAAAAGAGCTTTCGATAAGAAAGATCATTTATCTCCAAATATTGGATATTCGAAATTCATAGTCAAACCGCAATCCAATATATTTCGTTCTAAGCTCACACCAAAAGCTTCGAAATGAAATTTCAGTCATCTTAGACATAGAAGGTTCCATCAGATCATATTGTTATTCTAAGTTCTTACTTTGAGTTTGTGAGCAATTTAGTTTCTTACGCTTCCAAGGGACAAGTTGGCTCTTACGGTCTTTATTCGTTCAAACTAATTATTCTTTTAAATGGATACACGAACTAATTGATCGAAAGCTTCCCATACTCCATATTCTATTTCAGAAATCGTCGAAAATGTGAGAAATTAACATGCGTTCATAACCAAATTTCATAACTGCGGAGAGTCTCATTCTTCACAAAGAGTGGAATTCTGGACAATAAATGCTTTTAGTAACACATCTAGGTATCTTTTATCTAGTGAGTGTACATTTGGAGTCAATCCTCGGTCCATTTCAAGCAATCCCAAATTATTTCAAATCCTGGATCATACGCAATGCGCAATATTGACAAGATAGAGCTTCCACTTGCACGGTTATAAGCTTTGAATTTAATAATACCTGAGCACAGAGACCAATCGATCCCTTGAAATGACTTCACAGTGGTAATGGACTGTGTTTACCCTTAATGAAAATATTCTCCAGGTGATACAAATTCAGTTGACGTAATAACTCTGAAATTAAATGCTTTTCAATAGGTGAGGTTAGTTTGATCATTATAAAAACCAGTCAGAAGCACCAATTCTCAAAAAATAATATACATCTGACATCCATATTGCATTCCTTAACAGTTTATTCCAACAATTTCAACAAGAGATATAAACTCATATCCGTAGAATTTTCAATCACTATTGAATGAGATTGTTAGTCTGTCACGGTTTTTAATGACTTCACAACCACGTACATGTACAAGTTTTTAGTTCGATATGACATGGTCACTAACTAGCATTTATATACGTTTCACATTTGGATGTCTCTCCTTCAATCATTTAGCATGGAATAACGTTTAACTCATTTCTTGTTGGAATTATAGTGACTTTAAAACAGTATAAATCTTTACTTTGTAAGTACATCATTTACTCAAATACATGGATTTTGTGCCGTCATTCCACGACAGAGAATCTAATCTAGGTCTACCATCAAGTGTGCAGTCATTTTGCTTTTCACTTTTACAGAGCTTTACATGACATCACTATGAATTTTAAAATCAAACTAACTATTCACTGAAACAGAACACACTTCGAAATTCGGTTCTTACATTGGCGAGTAACAGACCCAAAGGTTTAACTTTCAACTATTTTGTTACTCAAACGATATTTGTTATCATCAAAGCAAAAGAAACTGAAGTTTTACAAGCATGTAATTAATTAAAAATAGGTAAATTTTTAGATGAATAATAAGACAACAGTATAAATAGAAATTAACTGACAACTACATAATCGTATACAACCTGAATCTAACACGACTTAAATTCACCAGTGTTTAAGCAATGTTCGTATTTCCGGTGGAGATAATTGGTTGGTTAAAACAGCTTGATTTTCGGACATGTGTAAGTCCAATTAGCTAACAACATTTGGTTGGCATAGATTTGGTTGATGCAAACTAAAGGTAAATTATATGAAAACAAGTAAGATTATACTGTTCTGAACGAAATCACGTATGAGACCTACTTACTGATTTCCACGTTATGTGTTGTTTGTAATGGACAAACTTTAAGTCTAAATAATCAAAATTCTATTGAAGTAAGCTATTTAAGTGAACATATATTTGTTTGTTTATTATCATAAATACTATGTTTCTATCAATCCCACTGGTTTTATTGTATATTTAATAAACGAACTAGATTATCGAATGGATAAACACTGGTTATCAACATCCACTAATTTCAAAAGAGTGAATGAATCTCAATCTGTATAAACAATGGAAATTATATCACTTGTGTTTGTAGATTATGATAATGTGTCCATATTCAGTTATGAATCTTAACTACAGAAACTGACTCGAATAGCGACATATAAAGGAGGGTAGTATGACGAACATGCAGTACTAACGGTGTAAGTAATACTGTTTACCGAGAAAGAACTACACACTGCATTTACTTGTAAAGCAATTTGCAAAACAATTCATCGAATACACCATTAGCACATCTTCCTTGAATTATCTTTTACAAACTTCTTTGTTCTTTCATTCCCGTTATTACTCCAGTTCCTTTTGTTTTTCTTTCCTTGCTACGCATTTTTCTCTTCTGTCTGTAAGGATCCTACTTCCAGTTCCTGAAACATTCTACTTATATCTGTTCATATAAGTAGAACACAATACACCACATATAGTGGCAAAAATATTGTCTGGTTGCATGAACATTTTTCAGTTCGGTCCTACAAATTCGAAGGGAGACCTTGAACATTCAATTGATTGTGATCATTGAACTAACACACATGTTGATTTTATGGCCATTTATAGAAACCTTAGAAATCTACCAGGATCCTCAATACAAAAGCTTTAGTTATCCATTAGAGGAACTCTGAACTTTGTACGCAAATGGAGTATTTCCTAGTTTATCACTTACATTATCCTTAACTCATTGTAATTATCTGATTTTCATTTCACAAATGTCAAATTTTTTTATCAAATTATCCATAATTTTATCTCACATTTGTTTCACTTAATCCTTCTGGCACCTTCAACTATAAAAGCAAAATATATCAGATGTCCTACTCTACTCTGACTGATCCAACATCAGTTCATTCGCTTTAAGTTTTAGTTCATATTTGTGCATTCAATTAAACAGAGTGATGATATTTTCGCTGAAATTCGTAACTCCATATCCCTTACCATTCCATTGTTCAGCCACTCGCATCTTGCAAAATGACTCAAACAGTGTATTGTCAATTGATCCAGTTGATGAAATCCATGGTACGACACTTGCTGTAATGATTTCAGTTGACGTATTCAAAGTGTTTTGATACATGAATGAGTTGATTGAAATCCATGTTTTTCCAAAGTTCTTACTCATCATTACACCTCCACCATTTGCTCCCAAACCGAACAATATGCCAAGTGGATTTGTGTACGCTATAATCTGTTCAACAAATGGTCCCATGTCTAGAAATTAAAAGTTAGGTATAATAAGATTTCCATTATTCGTATCAGAGTATTACTGAACAGAATGTTTGACGAATATGTTTCTCGTAAATTCGTACTAAGAATATCTTCAATCAGTGAAATTTGAATAATATCAATGAACATACAATGTGAAAATCATTTCTTACTGAAGGTATTTTCTACCACTTTGTTAATTCGATCCTTCAAAAATCTGAATCAATTTGGAAATGTTCTTCATTTACATAACGTTTTAGCTTGTAGAGTTGGACAATTTTTTGACATCCGAATGTTCGCTATAGCCTCATGTGATGTTTATTAATCATTGTGGGTGATGAAATAGTGGTTGTTTATTAGTGACCAAATAATAAGTTTGAAAAGTCTAAATATGTACGTTCCTAACAAAATCAATATCTGTATGATTGTTTAGTTTGAACTTTGGTTAGACTAAAATAGTTCGCATATCCAGTATATTCAACATTAGCTAACACAAGAAGCACCGCAGAAGCAATAAATGGTTTTCTATTTAGAAAGGTCTATTTTTTATTCTAGCAAAGAAACATCCTTCAATTTATTTGTCTCAATCATCTTGAGATGCTAATACATCTTTAGATAATCTAGAAGGTAATATATTTCGATTCTAACCCACTAAAACACACAAAGATATAGATTAGATGTTGTATATATAGACTTTTATTTGTTAATTTATTAATGAATGAAGGCTAACATTATGGTGAAAACGACCATGTAATACTCACAACTTGGAGAAATTCAATTCGTCAAGCTTAGAGTTGTAATGTATTTCTGTCGAAATGAATATTATTGCAACGAATCCCTGAATAAACTTAGTCTTTCAACTATAAATAATAGCATTCGACTAATAACAAAACTGAAATTTCTATGATAACTTACCGATCCATATTCTGTCAGGTAATTTGCTAATCATAAAGCAACGTTTCTCCAAATCGAATGACCCCTTCATATTAAATGCACGTCCACAATAAAACAGACGATCACGAACATTTAAGAATGTATCTGACTGACGACTAGGCAACGGCACAGCAGGATTCCGCAATGCCTTGTAATGAGGTAAATCACATGGATCTGAATACAGAAGTTAACATCAAGACTAATGATTATCATATACCACAGCATCATAATTTGGCACTTGTTACTGATCCATTTCATATGAATAACATTATATGCGTGAACCGTTTTGTCGAAGATGAAACAAAATGATACTCAATAACATTCATTAACATATGATGGTCCTGTAACATGTCCAAACCTACTCACTCAAAAAAGTATGTGTACATCATCCTATAGTTCGGTAGTGGATATTAAATTTATTTAGAATCCACCTTTGTATTGTTTCATGGAAGTTCTCAAGTGTGTCTATCCAAACATGCGAAACTTAAATCTCCTTCCCTCCCTTAACTGTTCAAAAACAGGCTTCTGTACCTACATCAAACCTACCATAAAAAGACCAGTTTTGATTTACTTTCCAAAGTAGCGTGACTACTGTCTTTTTTATTATCTCGATTGCTTTATATCCTTTCCTCCAATTGACAAGGCAAATTACGATGAAGCAGTTAAGAACATATCGTGCTAATATATTGTATACTTCTAAATAACAAATTAATGAGTTCTGATGTGTATATTTTATTCAGTAACTATTACTGTTGATTTTCTAAGTTGGTTGGTACCATGTGCTTGAGAGTTATGCAACTAATGTTACGCCATAATAACATTCATTATTGAGAATGATCATCATTGACATTAATACACAATGATGGTAGATCTTGTTTGAAACTCTGAACTGCTAAGTATTTGACTATAAGAGGAATTTGCGGGATGTTACTTACTACTCAATTTATCGATAAATAGACTAGGAGAAGTTCAAGCAAAAAGTAAACCGTACTTGCAGTGCACAGAATGTTTTGAGAATATTTAAAATTTTGTCAAAATCTGTCCAAATGCATTTGGTTTTCTGTCTGATGTTCATCTTTGCATAAGTATATTGTTCCTATCCTGATATTTTAGTAATATCAGTCGGTTGACTATCGGTGACATTACAACACTCAGTTATACGAAATTCTTAACAAAAGGGAAAAACTCTGAATTATTTACAACTTTTGGTAAAATTAACAGTCTGTCTAGTAAACTGATGAGATTCGAAACAACTGGACAGACTATGTTGCATTGCACAGTTGTCTTGTTTAAAAAACCAAGATCCTTGACTTAATGTGAGAAATTTCGATTTTTCTAAATCATTTTGGCCAACACGGATAAATGTCTTAATTAATGTTGATATATCTTGTCAATCCAATTCCTTACAATACAGTCCAATAAAACGTTTACCACGGAATGTTTCCATGCTAAGAAATTATCTATACATTTGTCGACACAACTGGTTCTTAAAATCAAGTTGCGTTATGCTGATTTTATCATAGTTGAAAAGAGCAAGAACAAAGATTTTGCAGAATAGCATGAATTAATTTTATTTAGTAGGTTCTCGTCAGCTGCTTGCAACCTGTGATATTTAAAATTATAATGACATAATGCATTAAAGTTACTTACATGAAAGAGTTTGGTTGGAAGACATATTCATATAGTATAGCAAGAGTGTAAATTAAAATTCATAGACTAAATGTTGTAAATATATACCTTGTGTGAAATAACATTCTAAAATACTAATTGTGACAACGGTTCGAAGGGCTAGAAACAAGTGATTACATAATTCGTAAACATTGATAGGAATAAAACGAGTAGAGCTCAGTTGATAAAATGAGATTATTAATTTGGAAAATAGTTGAAACAAAACTCAATGATGTAATAAATGCAAGAAAGAGTTTAGAGAAAAGGAAAAAAAGATTAAACGAAAGAATATTAGTCACCAAGGCAAAGAGAGATTAATAACCGTCTCCTTTTGGACACATAAGTCAGGTTTCTGACACCTGATGGAAATGGCTTCAGCAAATTTCAGAAGCGAGCTCTACTCATTTTATTCCTATGGAAATAAAATGAATTCATGCTATTCTGCTAAAATCTTTGTTCTTGCTCTTTCCAACTATGATAAAGGGAAATATGTGTATGAAAATTCATCATGGTTGTAACATTGCTTTTGGGTAAAAAGTAAGATGGGAAACAGTCATCGAAATAGTGGATTTCACTTATAAACTGGTGAATAAATTATATGACATAAACTTATTTTTTATGTTGCATTCACAAATCGGTAGCTATAAATAGTTTTTAAATAATATACAGAAATAAAACTCACATGAGTATGTATGGTAGTCAAGTTCTACATGTATATGAGATCTAAATTTGTAAAATTTTGATCTTACACAGCCACTAAAGACAGAAATATTGCGTTCATACGGTTTACATACAACTTCGATTAGAACTGGGTATTTTTCAACAGATGTCCGAGACGATTTGAATTTCAATCGGAAGATAGCTGTGTAGCTTTTACCAAAGTATAAATGACCAGTCTAAATAGAGGAATAAAAGAAGTGATGACAAACAAGTGTTGTTTCTGAACAAATTGGACGTATATAAGTAGTTCAAATGATTAACAAATATTGAGTTTTTTTTTTCAATCCAACCATAAGTCTAAGCTAATGTTAAAAAAACCACACATATATCGGTCTATCAAGTGTCTTCAAAATAAACTGCCTAGAATAAGGTTAAATGAATAATTGTGAATCTCAAAACTGAATATGAACAATTCCATTTCATAGTATTATATGAAAAACTTAAGAATACAAAGACTACAGCTTCAGTTTTACAACAGTACAAATGATTTAAAACTGACATATGTAACTCTGTAGTAAATTGGTTTTCCTAAAATGTCAAATAAGTTCAGCTAAAAACGGACATAGAACATTACAGTAGGATTTCTATTGATTATTGTCAAACACGATGTATGTAATGGAAATATTGTATCGTGGCCGGGTTCGGTTTTAAAAATATTATCGCTTTGACTGTGATCAAATTTACCATGCCGTTCAATCAACCAATTTCGCATACAGACTGTTCTCTTATAAATATATATCTTCATGCTTGTATAAGGTAGCATTTATGACTGACCGTTTGTGAGAGCCCACGCACTTAGTCCTTTTATCCGCTTAATTTGTGATTGCTTAAATTTCTTGAATCTTCGCATACACATGCATATATGGTGGCTTGTTAAGCAGCACTCATTAATTGATCTTCATCACCTTGTGAGTATCAGTTGTTCTATTTGAGCGTTGCCTGAAATAAGCTTACTTACTTACTTACACCTGTTACTCCTCGTGAAGGAGCATAGGTCGCTCACCAGCATTCTCCATCCAACCCTGTCCTGGGCAATCCTTTCCAGCTCCTTCCAGTTGTTATTCATCCTTTTCATATCTGCTTCTATTATCCGACGTAATGTGTTCTTTGGCCTTCCTCTTTTCCGCTTCCCTTCAGAATTCCAAGTTAGAGCTTGCCTCGTGATGCAGTTTGACGATTTGCGTATTGTATGTCCTATCCATTTCCATCGTCTTTTCCTAATTTCTTCTTCAGCTGGAAGTTGGTTTGTTCTCTCCCACAGAAGGCTATTGCTGATGGTATCCGGCCAATGGATGTTGAGTATCTTGCGTAGACAGCTATTTATAAATACTCGTACCTTCTTGATTGTGGTTGTTGTAGTTCTCCAAGTTTCAGCTCCATACAGTAGAATTGCCTTGACATTCGTATTGAAGATTCTCACTTTGATATTGGTTGAAAGTTGTTTTGAGTTCCATATGTTCTTCAATTGTAGGAATGCGGCCCTTGCTTTGCCAATCCTCGCCTTTACGTCTGCATCCGAACCTCCTTGTTCATCGATGATGCTTCCCAGGTATGTGAAGGATTCTACATCTTCCAGAGTTTCGCCATCAAGGGTGATTGGATTGCTGTTCTCCGCTTTGAATTTGAGGACCTTGGTTTTCCCTTTGTGTATACTGAGGCCTACTGATGCAGAGACTGCTGCTACACTGGCTGTCTTCATCTGCATCTGTTCGTGTGTACGTGATAGGAGGGCTAGGTCATCTGCGAAGTCCAGATCGTCTAATTGATTCTGAGCTGTCCATTGTATTCCGTGTTTTCCTTCAGATGTTGAGGTCTTCATAATCCAGTCGACCACCAGAAGAAAGAGGAAGGGAGAGAGTAAACAGCCTTGTCTGACTCCGGTCCTTACTTGGAATGCATCCGTCAGCTGTCCTCCATGCACTACTTTGCACTGTAGTCCGTCGTATGAGTTCCGGATAATATTGACAATCTTCTCAGGAACTCCGTAGTGTCGAAGAAGTTTCCATAATGTCCTCCTATCTACACTGTCGAATGCCTTTTCATAATCAATGAAGTTGATGTATAGTGACGAGTTCCATTCAACTGATTGTTCGACGATGATCCGTAGTGTTGCAATTTGGTCTGTGCACGACCGATCCTTTCGGAATCCAGCTTGTTGATCTCGAAGTTGGGCATCTACTGCATCCTTCATCCGGTTCAGCAACACTCTGTTGAAGACTTTCCCTGGTATTGACAGTAGTGTAATGCCTCTGTAGTTTTCACATTTGCTCAGATCTCCTTTCTTTGGAATCTTGATGAGGTGTCCTTCTTTCCAGTCCATCGGCACTTGTTCCTCCTCCCAAATCTTTTTGAATAGAGGGTAAAGCATGCTTGTGGTTACTTCGACGTCTGATTTCAGTGCTTCAGCTGGTATGTTGTCGGGTCCTGCTGCTTTCCCGTTCTTGATTTGTCTGACGGCCATTCTAATTTCTTCCGTCGTTGGTGGGTTGACCTCTATAGGAAGATCTGTGTGTGCTGCTTCGATGTTCGGTGGATTCATTGGAGCCGGCCTATTCAGGAGTTCCTCGAAGTATTCTACCCATCTGTTTCGCTGTTGTTGAATTTCAGTGATTGGCTTGCCTTCTTCGTCTTTGACCGGTCTCTCTGGTTTTCTGTATTTCCCTGATAATTTCTTCGTTGTATCGTAAAGCTGTTTCATGTTTCCTTCTCTAGCAGCTTTTTCTGCCGTCGTTGCTAGTTCTTCAACGTATTTCTTCTTGTCGGCTCTAATGCTTCTCTTCACTTGCTTGTTTGCTTCTATGTATTCAGCTTGTGCTTGGACTTTCTCTGCTCGTGTTCGGCTGTTGTTAATTGCTGTCTTCTTGTTCTTCCTTTCTTTGATCTTATCCAGTGTTTCTATAGAGATCCATTCCTTACGATGGTGTTTCTTTAGACCCAGAACCTCTTGACACGTTGAAGTCAATGTTTCTTTGATGCCTTTCCAGTTGTCCTCCATGGTAGTTTCTTCTTCCTTCAGTAGATCTTGAAAGGCTTGGAACCTGTTGTTGAGAGCTATCTTGAATTCATTGAGTTTGACAGTATCTCGAAGGAGGGCTGTATTGAACCTTTGTAGTGCTGTTTGTCCACTTGTCCAGTTCTTTTTTAGCTTCAATTTTAAATTGGCTACAACTAGGTGGTGATCTGAAGCTACGTCAGCACCTCTCCTGGTTCTCACATCTTCCATTGTCCTTCGGAATTTTTTGTTGATGCAAATATGATCTATCTGGTTCTCTGTAGTGTGGTCCGGTGAGATCCATGTAGCCTTGTGTATACGCTTGTGTGGAAATATTGTGCCTCCTATGACTAATTTGTTGAATGCACACAAATTTGCAAATCCTTCTCCATTTTCGTTTCTCTGTCCCAGTCCATGTCGTCCCATAATATCTTCATATCCAGTGTTGTCTATTCCGACCTTGGCATTTAGATCTCCCATCAGAATGGTGAGGTCCTTTCTTGAGCATTTCTCTATGATTGACTGCAGCCGCTCGTAGAATTGATCTTTAATGTCGTCGTTGCTATCATTGGTGGGTGCATAACATTGGATAATATTCATTAAGATCCCCTCCTTCTTTGTTTTGAATGATGCTTTGATGATTCTGGATCCGTGGGATTCCCATCCTACAAGTGCATTTCGTGCTACTTTGGACAGCATTAGAGCAACTCCTTGAGTGTGTGGAGCATTTTCCTCTTCGTGACCGGAGTATAGCAGCATCTCTCCCGTAGCTAGCCTTTTCTGTCCAGCTTGGGTCCAGTGAGTTTCGCTGATTCCCAGTACTGCCAAGTTGTATCTCCTCATTTCCGTTGCTATTTGGCTGGTCTTCCCGGTTTCCCACATTGTTCGAACGTTTCATGTACCTATAAAAATTTTTGCTCTGGTTGTTAGAAGGGGCATCGGCCTCGTGGCTTCCGAAGGAACTCGGCTTTCACCATGAAGCGTCATAATTCTTCTAAATGAAGACCTTCTAACTCTCAGGGCAGAGTTAAAATGGTTTGAATTATTTTTTCTGGCAAGCGTTTTTTTAGCGAGTTAGTTTTCTACGGGATGGGGACGCTAACCCCATGCCCAACCCTCCTCCTTTACCCGGGCTTGGGACCGGCAGTAACTCTAGAAGAGCTACAGGCGGAGTTTGAAATAAGCTATTGACACTAATTTATTATTTCGCCTTCTGGAAATAATACTCCGTCAAGGAATTATAATGACGACGGTTACTCGGGCGATTATTAGAAATCGATAACGACAACAGAATGTTTTACTTTAAGCAATAATTTTTCTAGTAGAAATCTGACTGGTCATTTCAAGTCTGAAATGTTGATTATCTAACTCACAAGGATGCTACATTTTGAAATGTAAATGATACTTCATTTTCGAATAATTGGAAAACTTTAATATACTGCCATAAAGAACAACCGATTATTCATTTCAGAAAACCTATGTGAAGTTATTTCTCAAAATAGAATTCAGTTCATGTGAGACTTTGAAAAACTGTTTGCAAATCTTTAATAATATTTTTACAAATGACATGAATGTTACCAAAGATTGGGAACAAATCAAAACAATCGGAAGCAAACTATTTCTGCTTGTCAATGCCTTACGTTCCTTTCGTTTAATACAGTTTACGTTTACCATGTTCGAATCTGTGAAATTTTGTGATTTAACTTCAATATGCAACAAAACACATAAGCTTACTGTGAACTGAACCGACTTGGATACTGGATTTAAAGCAGTTTTCAATGTTATATCATCTGTATTCCCCGTTTTATTAAATACGTCAATTGACTGTATCTGTGGACTGAGATAGAATATTATTGACTGTCTTTCGCATTCCAATCCGGTACCGTTCATCATTTGAACCAGAGTTTGAAGATAAACTTCATCGCTGTGTACAGCATTAGAAACAAACAATTTGAAAATAAAGTATTGAAACAAGCTACCCTGATCATAAAATGTGGTAGTAATTGTACTACAAAATATATAATGTAAAATATAATATTGACTGAGAATTATGCACAGTTGTTTTTGTGGATCGATTTTAGAGGTCTAAAAATGACTAAGTATTCATCAAATAATTTGTATTATACTCCACGCTTTATTTGATCACGAATTCACACTTTAATTGTGACCAGTGAAGTTCAGTCTTTGTTGGGTGTGAGGAAAGTACTTGTCATAGACAATGGAAGGTCGTAACGCAATCTCGCTACTTGATTAGACATGTACATCATTATATATATGAATGGTTTAATGACCAGTTTTCTCATGTGTGCAGAAATCTAAATGTTTATGCTTGAATAACTGACAGGATTTTGAGATATAAGACATTCATTGAATATCCGTTAAATAAATGAGCTGCATTTCCCGCAGATAGAATTACCTCACTTGTTTTGATGTTCTTTTTTCTGAAATACAACTACATTTTTGTTGTCTGACCACTTACCTGTTTAATCAGATCACTAAAATCTTCACGCGTCCTCAACTATCTCAATATTCTATTAAACCAACAGTGTCATCATGAAGATGTTTTGAATGAAAGAGTAATAGTTTCAATAGAAGGTGTGTTGTTGACACCTTCTAAAAATGAGGAAGAATAAAAAGGTATACTTGATATCTGATTAAAAACCAACAAACGAAATTTCTGATGATCAAAGTGTTCTGTTAATTAATTTACGGTTGACTATGCACTTGACTGGATTGATCCACATGAAACAAAATTATAAATGTTAGTCAGGTTTACTTTTGGTATTATTCCATTGGTTTGGAAATCATATGGTTCAACATATCACAAACCATCCATAAATGGGACTCTATTTATATGACTTATAATTAATAGTAAATTTTGAAAGAAACCACGTCTAGTAGAGGATAAATTTTATAATTTTTTCTTGAGACATATTTCATATAATTAACAAATAAAGGTCAGACAAATTATCACAGCCATTGTATCCTCTCACATTTGATTCTTTCGACGATTATATTTTACGCATTCACCTCATAATGCTTCTGACCAGCTAGAATTCGGCTAAACAAACAGACCGAACAGTTTTAGTATGAACTATGAACACAATTGAAAACACATTCTGAGTTTGAATAATTTTTTCTGTCAGCGTTTTTTTAGCGAGTTAGTTGTCTACGGGATGGGGACGCTAACCCCATGCCCAACCCTCCTCCTTTATCCGGGCTTGGGACCGGCAGTAGCCCTCGGAGGGACTCCAGGAGGAGTTTTCCAGGCCTTTCATGATCTGCTCAATGGAGAAGGAACTACTGTGGAGAGCAACTGGAAAAGGATCAAAGAGGCAATCACTTCAACATGTCATGAGGTCCTGGGTCACAAGAAGCACCATCACAAGGAATGGATCACTGTTGATACACTGGATAAGATTCAAAACATGAAAAACAAGAAGGCAGCAATCAATACCAGCCGAACAAGAGCAGAAAAAGCCAAGGCACAAGCTGAATACACAGAAGTTAACAAACAAGTGAAGAGGAGCATCAGAACCGACAAACGCAAATATGTGGAAGATTTAGCAACGGCGGCGGAAAAGGCTGCAACAGAAGGAAACATGAGACAGCTGTATGACACAACAAAAAAGCTCGCTGGGAATTATATTAAACCAGAACGATCGGTAAAAAGCAAGGAAGGAAAAGTAATCACCGACATTGAAGAACAGCAAAACTGGTGTGTAGAACATTTTAAGGAACTCTCAGGTCGACCAGCTCCACTAAACCCACCCAACACTCAAGTAGCACCCACAGACCTCGCAAGCGATGTTGGTCCACCAAAAATTGAAGAGATCAGAATGGCCATCAGACAAATTAAGAGCGGCAAAGCAGCAAGACCAGACAACATTCCAGCAGAGGCACTGAAAGCAGACGTAGCAGTAACTGCAAAGATACTCAACATTCTCTTCAGCAAGATTTAGGATGAAGAACAAGTACCAACAGACTGGAAAGAAGGACACCTGATCCAGATGCCGAAGAAAAGCGATCTCAGCAAGTGTGATAACTACAGGGGCATCGCTCTTCTCTCAATACCAGGAAAAATATTCAACAGTGTGTTTTTAAACAGAATGAAGTACTTCATAGACGCCCAACTTCGAGATCAACAGTCTGGATTCCACAAGGATCGATCGTGTACCGACCAAATTGCAACACTAAGGAACATTGTGGAACAATTAATTGAGTGGAATTCACCACTCTACATCAACGTCATTGACTACAAGAATGCATTTGACAGAGTGGACAGAACAACACTACGGAGGCTTCTTCGACACCACGGCGTGCCTCAGAAGATAGTCAATATCATACGGAATTCCTATGACAGATTAAACTGAAGCATCGTGCATGGAGGACACCTGACAGACTCGTTCGAAGTGAAAACTGGTGTCAGGCAAGGTTGCTTACTCTTAACCTTCCTTTTTCTCCTGGTGATCGACTGTATCATGAAGATCTCAACATGTGGGAGGAAGCATGGATTACAGTGGATAGCTAGGATACACCTGGACGACCTAGACTTCGCAAATGATCTGGCTCTTCTATTGCACACGCAACGACAAATGCAGAAGACGACCAGTGTAGCAACAGCCTCAGCAGCAGTGGGCCTCAACACACACAAAGGGAAAAGCAAGATTCTCCGATACAACACAACATGCACCAATCGAATCACACTTGACGTAGAAGCTTTGGGGGATATAGAACCCTTCACATATCTGGGTAGTATCATTGATGAGTACGGTGGATCTGATGCAGATGTGAAGGCGCGGATCGGCAAAGCAAGAGCAGCGTATTTACAACTGAAGAACATCTGGAGCTCAGAGCAACTGTCAACCAACACCAAGGTCAGAATTTACAATACAAATGTCAAGACAGTTCTACTGTATGGGGCAGAAACCTGGAGAACTACGAAAGCCATCATCCAGAAAATACAGGTGTTTGTTAACAATTGTCTACGCAAAATACTTCAGATCCATTGGCCGGACACTATTAGCAACAACGTACTGTGGGAGAGAACAAACCAGATCCCAGTGGAGGAAGAAATCAGGAAGAAGCGCTGGAAGTGGATAGGACACACATTGAGGAAAGCACCCAACTGCGTCACAAGGCAAGCCCTCGCATGGAATCCTCAAGGTCAAAGGAAAAGAGGAAGACCAAAGAACACATTACGCCGAGAAATGGAGATAGACATGAGAAAAATGAACAAGAATTGGATGGAAATAGAAAGGAAGGCCCAGGACAGAGTGGGTAGGAGAATGCTGGTCGGCGGCCTATGCTCCATTGGGAGTGACAGGCGTAAGTAATGGCCATTCTGAGTTAAAACAGTATTCCTTACAATCAAAAACAGGTTAAGCCGGCGGAACAGTTGAATATATGACTTTATCAAGTAAGAAATCACTGATTTTGAACTGAACGATATAAAAGCCGAGAAACTGGAAATTTTCACATTATGCTGGTGTAGCAGAACCACACGAAATGTATTGCCTCCCGTCGCCAAAACAGTAGTTTTTATAATGGTTCTAACCTGAATAATTGATTTCGATTATTACCCTGACCAAGTGCAAACCAACACCGCGGACGAAAGGTTGGAATTATGTAGACTTAAATCGCTGAGATGATCTCAAATATAATATTCATGCAGTTTTTACATATAACTTAAATTACTAGTGACCTGCAGAAGGTGAATAAACTCATGTGAATTAGCAACACTGTGTGAAGTGAATGATTTGAGTTTGACATTAATCTGTATCACAAGGTAATTCGTTTTCAAATCAAATTTTATGACGTTGACTTAATGGTAGCTTGGTAGTCAAGTAACACAATAGACTGATTAAGGTATTTCTTGTGGTAGTGTTGTACAAATGGCTACGAACTGATGTCATTTCATACTGATATTGACATCGTAAGTTGTAGGTGATTTACACTCGGTTTAGATGCTGATAAATAGATCCTGAGATGCACTAGAAGACTACTTAACAGAATAATTAAAATCTACTATTGTAAAATCAACTCATTTGTAATAGGGAATCAATTATATGAAAGTATAAACACTAAACGAAGGTTAGGATATTTTGAACAAACCGATCAGGGCAATCATTGGATGCAACCAGTGATAATTGAGATGGTATAACTTTAATTGAAGGTTTTTCCAAGCCAGTTCTTACACAAGTTACAGATAAGTTGGTGAGTTTTGTAATATTATTGAAACGACCAGCAAACTGCAGCAACCAGACAGTCCCATTTTCAACACTTTTACTATCACTTAACTGGATATCCACTGAAAGGATGGCAGTGTTGCGCATTAGAGGTACACTAACGGTTCCTGTAAATTGGAAATAATGTTCTCATAAATATTTCGTGCAATTTAGATTCTAGGACAATGTATTTGTATTGAATTAATGGTAGGCCATCCAAGCAACACTTAAATTAATTGTATGATAATATAACAAAAAGCAGAGCAGACGTTCCTGGAAATCTGTCACTCATTTGGACATCTAGAACATGTAATGTTTCTGGCAAACGTTTCATATTGCAATCCGAGTGGATTTCAGATCACCTAAAGAAGTCCTGATCACAGGTAAATGGTTATTTCACTACAGAGAGTTTGCTGAGGTTATTGAATCTCATGGATTACATCATGGATTTTGTCATGGATTAATGTTAGATAAATAATGATTGAAAGTCAAGAAGCACTGAACGAATGATTCGTTCTAATACTGGATTCTTTGACAGCGTACATTCACGACCCACCTGGGATAGAACACGGACTCACAGTGAGCCCCTAACATTTAAACAACCGAGCTGGTATCCGGTGAATTCCATTTATACCATAATCTCGAAAAACTATTTGCGTAAATGAGTGTGTAAGTATCATCACCAAGGTTTGACTTGATAATTTCAAATAAATTGAGCATTGGGTAGATTGTTACAGATAAAATAATATATTTGTAATATCCCAATGAGTAGAAAAATGAGATTTTCTGACCTAAGCCTCTTCTTCAGAAAATTAATAGCCAGATTAGAATTAACCAAAAACTAATACCGCCATGGCACAACAGGAGAACTCCAAAGAATCTTAAAACAACACATAATTAAAGTATATTATAGAACAGCGAACACACTTCGAGATAATTTAGTTCGCTTGAAATAAATACTCCCCTTTATGTCAACAGAGAACTGTGTATACAAATTAGGATGTGCCGATTGTGATGCTTTCGATGTTGGAAATTCATCTCGCGAAATCTTGACTCGAACCAAAGAATATCTTAGGTACACAAAGAAACTATCGAATAATCCCGTAGAACTAGATAGACTTCAAATTAAATAGGCAATAGCAATTCACTCCATTTTCAACAACCACCAAATCGATTTCAAGAACATCAAAATATTACAAAAGGGTTTTTCCAACTATAAAGAATGGAGAGTAGCTGAAGCCTTCCATATAATGCTTAGTCCTACCGCTCTCAATACAAATGAACGCCTCAATAAACATCCAACTTGGATTATCTATCCATGACATCTGCTTGTTCAGACCTGCTTCTTATTGATCGCACATACTTTCTTGCGTTGTTCCTTTGTACTATTTAAACCTGGATTAATTTTAATTTCGTTATCAATTCTCCGAAGAAGTGGCTTATGCTGAGTCATGAAATGTCAGAAAATCTCATTTGTCTACTCATTGGGATATTACAAATGTATTAATTTACTTATATTTGCATAAACATTCAATTTTGTTCTGAGTCATAGGATTATCGTGGCAACTTAGTAGCTAATTTGTTGTCTAGAGAAGATAAAGAATATGAATCCCATCCATTAAACCTAAATTTAATGGTCAACTCACCGATATTAGAGATATTTTTAAAGCGAATTATCAGGTGATCGATTAGGCCTGTCTGATTATTTGGTTCATAGGTAGATGAATAAACAGTTGTCAGTGGGACTAAATTTGAACCCAAGCTTATTCTGAAATCAATGATACTTATTATGGTCTCATTGTTATCATTTGCTCCACCTCCACTAATTTCTACAGACGAGTTTGGATAAGTGGAATTCAGTGGAAATATATACTTCACAGTAATAGTTGTTCTTCCACCTGGCTGAAGGTTAACTCTGATTGGAAGTAATTCGACCAGTATCTGAAAGGAAAATATTTGAAGTCATATTACCGCAATAATGGTTGAATGTTGCTGAAACTTCGAATAGTTTTGTAGTTCAAATTTCCCAAATACCTTCTGTTATATGCGGACGAGAATAAATGAATGGTAACAGTTAGGAATTATTTATGGATTAATATTATATGTATATTCTAATTGTATGACTATTAAGTGATTATATATATATATATATATATATATTCCTCTTATTATAAGCTTTTATTTAACCAGTAGACTATTACTATACGATTTATCATTCTTAAGTTATGTCAGGTTTATTAATTGCAGTCTCCCACAACCACAGTTACTTTTGGCTTGATCTTGTCCTATTCCCGAGAGTTAGAAGGTCTTCAATCAAAAGAGTTATGAGGCCTCATGGTGAAGGTCAAGTTCCTTCAGAAGTTACGAGGCTGATGCCCTTTCCGACAACCAGAGCAACCATTAATTTAGATACATGGAACGCTCGACAATGTGGGAGACCAGAAGAGTGTTCCAAATGGCTGCAGAAATGAAGAGATACAAACTGGAGTTGCTTGGAATCAGTGAAACACACACAGGTTGGAGAATATAGACTAGCTTCAGGAGAGCTGTTGTTATACTCCGGCCATGAAGAAGAAGCTGCACTGATGTTATCCAAACAAGCACAAAAAGCACTTATAGTATGGGAATCTCACGGACCCAGGATTATCAAAGCCTTCCTCAAAACAAAGAAAGAGGGCATTTCAATGAACGTCATCTAATGCTTTGCGCCTACCAAGGATTACAATGAAGACATTAAAGATTAAATCTACGATCGAATGCAGTCAATCGTTGAGAAATACCCAACAAATGACTTGGCCATCCTGATGGAAGAACTATATGCCAAGGCTGGAATGAACAACGACAGACATGAAGACATCATGGGACGACATGGACTGAGAAAAGGAACTAAAATGGTGAGAGATTCGCAAACCTATGTGACTTCGACAAACTGGTTATAGGTGGCACCATATTCCCACATAAATGCATACACAAAGCCACATAGATTTCACCGGATCACACTACACAGAACTAAATCGACCATATGTGCATTAATAAGAGGTTCAGAAGGATGATGGAGAGCTTAAGGACCAAGAGAGGAGCTGATATAGCCTCAGATCATCACTTCCTGGTTGCCATGATAAAATTGAAACTTAAGAAGCTCTCGACAACGGGATGGACAACATCACAAAAGTTTAATACAGTCGTTTTTTGGAATACTGATAGACTCGATGAATTCAAGATAGTCCTCAGCAATAGGTTCCAGGCCTTTCATGATCTACTCAATGGAGGGGGAACTACCACGGAGAACAACTGGAAAGGGATCAAAGAGGCAATCACTTCAACATGTCATGAAGATCTGAGCCACTGTTGATACACTGGATAAGATTCAAAACATGAAAAACAAGAAGGCAGCAATCAATACCAGCCGAACAAGAGCAGAAAAAGCCAAGGCACAAGCTGAATACACAGAAGTTAACAAACAAGTGAAGAGGAGCATCAGAACCGACAAACGCAAATATGTGGAAGATTTAGCAACGGCGGCGGAAAAGGCTGCAACAGAAGGAAACATGAGACAGCTGTATGACACAACAAAAAAGCTCGCTGGGAATTATATTAAACCAGAACGATCGGTAAAAAGCAAGGAAGGAAAAGTAATCACCGACATTGAAGAACAGCAAAACTGGTGTGTAGAACATTTTAAGGAACTCTCAGGTCGACCAGCTCCACTAAACCCACCCAACACTCAAGTAGCACCCACAGACCTCGCAAGCGATGTTGGTCCACCAAAAATTGAAGAGATCAGAATGGCCATCAGACAAATTAAGAGCGGCAAAGCAGCAAGACCAGACAACATTCCAGCAGAGGCACTGAAAGCAGACGTAGCAGTAACTGCAAAGATACTCAACATTCTCTTCAGCAAGATTTAGGATGAAGAACAAGTACCAACAGACTGGAAAGAAGGACACCTGATCCAGATGCCGAAGAAAAGCGATCTCAGCAAGTGTGATAACTACAGGGGCATCGCTCTTCTCTCAATACCAGGAAAAATATTCAACAGTGTGTTTTTAAACAGAATGAAGTACTTCATAGACGCCCAACTTCGAGATCAACAGTCTGGATTCCACAAGGATCGATCGTGTACCGACCAAATTGCAACACTAAGGAACATTGTGGAACAATTAATTGAGTGGAATTCACCACTCTACATCAACGTCATTGACTACAAGAATGCATTTGACAGAGTGGACAGAACAACACTACGGAGGCTTCTTCGACACCACGGCGTGCCTCAGAAGATAGTCAATATCATACGGAATTCCTATGACAGATTAAACTGAAGCATCGTGCATGGAGGACACCTGACAGACTCGTTCGAAGTGAAAACTGGTGTCAGGCAAGGTTGCTTACTCTTAACCTTCCTTTTTCTCCTGGTGATCGACTGTATCATGAAGATCTCAACATGTGGGAGGAAGCATGGATTACAGTGGATAGCTAGGATACACCTGGACGACCTAGACTTCGCAAATGATCTGGCTCTTCTATTGCACACGCAACGACAAATGCAGAAGACGACCAGTGTAGCAACAGCCTCAGCAGCAGTGGGCCTCAACACACACAAAGGGAAAAGCAAGATTCTCCGATACAACACAACATGCACCAATCGAATCACACTTGACGTAGAAGCTTTGGGGGATATAGAACCCTTCACATATCTGGGTAGTATCATTGATGAGTACGGTGGATCTGATGCAGATGTGAAGGCGCGGATCGGCAAAGCAAGAGCAGCGTATTTACAACTGAAGAACATCTGGAGCTCAGAGCAACTGTCAACCAACACCAAGGTCAGAATTTACAATACAAATGTCAAGACAGTTCTACTGTATGGGGCAGAAACCTGGAGAACTACGAAAGCCATCATCCAGAAAATACAGGTGTTTATTAACAATTGTCTACGCAAAATACTTCAGATCCATTGGCCGGACACTATTAGCAACAACGTACTGTGGGAGAGAACAAACCAGATCCCAGTGGAGGAAGAAATCAGGAAGAAGCGCTGGAAGTGGATAGGACACACATTGAGGAAAGCACCCAACTGCGTCACAAGGCAAGCCCTCGCATGGAATCCTCAAGGTCAAAGGAAAAGAGGAAGACCAAAGAACACATTACGCCGAGAAATGGAGATAGACATGAGAAAAATGAACAAGAATTGGATGGAAATAGAAAGGAAGGCCCAGGACAGAGTGGGTAGGAGAATGCTGGTCGGCGGCCTATGCTCCATTGGGAGTGACAGGCGTAAGTATAAGTAATAATGTATAAGACAAATAATACACAAAATTAGATAACCGATATAGTTCTAGGCAGAATACAAAACAAATATGCAGCACGCGTGCAAAAGTAGAAAAGTAGATGACTCACATAACTGAGCTGATAGGTATGGGAACTATCTAAATTACAATGACACTTGTTGCGACTTCTTTTGTCCGACCATAGATAGATAGATTTGTATTCATAATAGGCCAGAGGGACTTGGTATAATCTAACAATATAGAGCATTTACAATTCGCATCATGAAGTTGGTGTCACATGAATCATTGAGGTGATCAGTTATTTTTACGGCTACGTTTATAATATGGAATAATCTCTCAAACCCAGTGTCGTAAAATGACATTAATCAGGTGTTGTAGAAAACTATTCACTTGCATTACTTTCCATGTAAAAGGTGCTATGGCCTGAAAAGTATGTTTTGTGGTACATTTAGACCAAGGATACATAATAACTGAAATTGCAAAATTGTCTAGTACATTTGTATTATATACAAATAAATAGAATATTGAGTGGATTGAAAATACATAGGGTCGTTTGATCTATTCTCATTGTGCCATTTATCGCTTACCCTAGTGTAACACGTATCTGAACACAAAGCCATAATCTTGAGTTTAAGTGAGGTTGTGTTTTGCTTAAAAGAATGATATATCTTTTCGGTAATCTATGTTGTGTCACTAGGTGGTTTTCATATTTGTGACATCGTTTAAGTGATTCATCCGAAAATCTTGTTTAAATCCATTTTAGATTGTATTTTTTTATATGAAATTTTAGTTTATTTGGACAAGTGATGTACCGTTACATTTAGGAGACAGGTAATAAAAATCTTAATATTGCGATTTTCCACTAAATATGATATGATATAGAATATGAAAACCAGGATAGAATAAGACCAGGTAAAAGAGAAGGGTTGGGTATGGAACCAGCAAAACCATCCAATAGAAAACAATACTGCTAAAAACGCCAACTGGATTAAATAAATAAAAACATTTAGATTCAGTTCTCGGAGTTGATGGAAGAATTATGATGCCTGAAGAACAGAGAAAATCAAGGCAAAAACTGAATAAACTGAAACAAACAAACAAGTGAACATGAGCAATAAAGCTGACAAGCAGAAATATATGGAACACCTAGCAACGGCAGTGGGAAATGCTGAAAGAAAAGAAAATAACAAACAACCATATGACACAACGTAAAAACTAACAGGGAAATATAATAAACCAGAGAGGTTTGTCAAGGACAAAGGATGCAAGCCAATCACTGAGACTCAAGAACAGAGCAAGAGGTGGATAGAACACTTCGGGGAACTCTTGAATAGACCTATCTGTTTTATTCTATATATACCATCATTGCAAATGAAGATAGCCAGTGTTGCAGCAGCCTATGTATCAGTAAGCCTCAACATGCACATGGAAATAAGCAATATCCTTATACACAACACGGATAACAACAACGCTTTCACAGTCGATTGATAAGCAGATGTAAAGGCTATGAATAACAAAACAGGAACAACATTCCTGTAATTGAAGGACATATGAAAATCAAAACAACTGTCAGCCACTATCAAATACTCGAATTCAAATACAAACTTCAAGATAGTTATTTCTATTCTACGGAAATGAAACATGAATAACTACTTCAAGCATCAACAAAAAGGTACAAGTGTTTCTAAACAATTGTCCACGCAAGATACTGAATTTCCGTTGGCTGAATACCATCAGCATCATTCTAGTGTGGAAAAGAACAAACCAGCTTCCAGTTGAAGAGGAAATTGGCAAAATATGTTGGAGGTGGTTAGGATATATATTACGGAACTCACTAAACTGCATCATAGGACAAGCGCTTACCTGGAATCCTGATGGGAAACTGCAAAAGGAAGGCGGAAGAACACATTACGTTGTGAATTGAAATCAGATATGAGAAGAATGACTAGCAACTAGAAAGTGTTGGGAAGGATTGTCCAGAACAGAGTTGGATGGAGAATTCTGGTTGGTGGCCTATGCTCCTCCTCAAGGGTTAACAAGAATTAGTGAAATAAGTAAGTTTTCACTTTAAAAGGGCTTTTTTCCAAGACGTGTACTACCTATTTCTTATTACTTGAAAACAATAGAATTATTTATTTGACAAGTGATAAATGTTGTTAAACTGTTTTTATATAATTTAATACTTACGTCAATGTAAACTGGAAAATTTGGTATGACTACGAAGTCCATGCTGGGTGAATAAAGAGTGTTTTTATTACCACTCATATTATACCAGCCTGGGAAAGAATACGTTGTTGTCTGTGTTGTATTGCAATCCCCTAATATGTAAGTAGTAAATTGTATATCCATCTATAAAACGTAAACAACAACACTGAAGTCGAAAGAAACACTTACATAATAACATAAAAACGATTGTCTGAAGTTGTGAATTAAATGTTTTTTGTATCATAACTATATTACAGTCCTATTAACTAAACCTATGGTTAACAAAATTTGATTAAAGAATATACTTTAATTTATATCAGTGAGTGAAATAAGATTTCGTTAACAACATGAGTTAAGAAAAATTCAGAAGCAAATATTATTGTATTATTTATGAACGTATGCTGTTACATATTACTACTACCTGATGAACGCTTATGCCTAACTGGAAACTTTCGGGACTCTATTTTATTGATTGACAGATGTACAAATATTAAAATGAGTTTGTTGAGAAGAAGATTTTGATGTTTGTATTATTTTCTTTTGTATCATAGCTATAAACGGAAGATACAGAAAAGGATAAACATGAACTTTGTATGTCTCCAGAATACTACTCGTTTTTACGAAGACTTAAAATGATGTATACTCAAATTTTACCTTTTTTGTGTTTGTGTGATCCAGAAAACTCCTCATAAAAAGCCAGAAAAGCCTCGAAAAACGCTGAGGAACATCTTATCCAGTTAGCATTCAATAAAAGTTTTGCCAGAAACATCTAGTAAACGAAAAGTCGCATGTAGCATTTCTGATTGGATGATTACCTATACTGCTACTACGTTTGGTAACGTTCGTGAAATTTTTGGAAGTATAAGACCTTCTGAAATACGATAAATACCCTAGATTTTCTATACATAAACGAACCATTGAGTAAAGCGTTTCTTCCATATTTCGCGCATTTTCTCTCGTGTTTAAGTCTCTGTGTAGATTTAACCTGTGGGTTACTAGAAGAGCATAGGAACCGAATCTAGCGTTCAATTAGAAGACTTATCATTTTATATAGCAATAAACTCGATTGATCTCAATCTGATGTTTACGAAATTTGTTTCATTCCTGAATGATACCGACAGTTGGGCATAATCCTGCCAACTAGCATTATTTCTGTTCTGCCTTCTTTTAAAAAATGACAACATTTTCAAAAGACTGAAAATATAAAAATGCTCAAAATATTCTTCAGCCAATAAGCATTTAGATAGACTGAACTCAATAGTGTAAGACCTAGAATAACCGTTCATTTGTTCAAGCACTCGAATTTCATATTATCTTGGTAAAAGAAAAACACAAGATGAGAAAATCCAAATATTTAGACCGAAAGGACCAATAGTAATAGAAGCCGAACGTAGTTGAGAAGTCAACAGAAAGAATGAGTTCAATAAATAAAGGATATTCAGTAATATAGAGTTAATTGTTGCAGTTATATAACTTTTTATTTACTGATTTGTTTATTTAAACACATAAACATTGATACAAAGATGCACCATGTATTATATGTGCCGCACTTCGGCATTCGATTTGTGTGAGGGTTGAGACACTGCCCGGGCTCCCAAACTTATATATATTTATGAATTATAGTATATTATCAGACTGGGGATTTGTGGAGATTATGGCAATGTAAATAGTTGGATTCATGAGCTGATCTAAGCTAGACCATCACTGAAAACCTGGAAGCACTGGATGACGAACCAGTTATCTAGAGGTTAAGCGTTCGAGTGGGAGATTGAAGGTCCTGGGTTTGGGTTCCAGGTGCGGAATCGGAGATTCGCACTGTAGAGGAGTATCATACTAGGACGAAACGGGGCGTCCAGTGCTTCCAAGTTTTCAGTGGTCATCTAGCATAGATAGACTCGTGAATTCAACTACTAGTACAGTTTATTACTTTCACTAAATTTATGTATGCATCCCAACGTAAAAATTTTCGTCAGTCACATTATTGGTCTCTAATAAATACCATTGTGTAACTCTTTCTCAAAACCTTTCTTTTCTGAAAAATCTTTATTCACCACATATTTTGTTCAATTCATATCCATTTTTAATAGGTACGCTTCAGGCACTCAAAATAATAAACAACATACTGACGATCATCTATGAGACGCTATAGGTTGCTTAGTTTAGCGAAAACTCAATAAAACTTGGGCAAGCATTTTGTATTTTAGAATCTTTTTTTAACTAAGATACAATTTACAGTTGTCAATTCACTAGATCACTTCACTGCATGGTACTAAATTCAGCATAAAAAATAAGTGATGGAGCAGCATTTTTCACTCAAAAACTGTGAGGGTAAAATTTGGAAAACTGTGACTGTGCAAAAAATCTCATTTGTTCTTCCGCTTAGTTCATAAAAAATATATTGATGAGCTAAATATTATTTGGTTATTATTGTGGAATTTCTAGACTACTATTTTACATCTGGAACTATTTCTTTCATTTTGTGGCATCCATGTGATTCATGAAGTAGCAGGAGTTAGCTAAAAACAAACAATGACGAATATCTTGAGTTTTTAGGGATTTTGAAATCTTTTTCTGTTGAACAATAAATGAAAGACTATCGACGAAAAATAAGTCTGGAAGTGAGTTCAACAATCTTTAACTTAATGTTACAATTATATCTTACTAACTGATAGAAATTTCTGTAAATACGTAATTCGCAAAATTTCCATCAATTGTCTCATAATGACTCAGAATTCATTGTTCTTGCATTTTCATACAAATTGAATTCTGTTCTCATTCTTTACTGTTCGATCCTCTTGTCTCTTTGCTGCCAGACATTCCGTTCACGAGTAACGTCATATACTACACACCACAAGACTACTTACGACTGAAATACTTAGTTATAATTTTAACATATGTACATTAATATTCAGGTAACTTAGTGTAAACCTATTGTTTGAAACACATAATATTAGCAGCTAGCCAGAAAAACTTTGTCAAACCAAGAAGTAATTATGCGACTGACTTACGAAATAATTAGCTTCATATGTAGGACACACTGGGCCGAAATCCACTCTCACCAAACTATGAAAATAAACAAAAATCTTTTGTTGTCTACTTCGCTTGCATAAAAGAAAAGAGTAATGCAAGATATTGCGAATTAAATAAAGTTCTGGGGAAAATAATGATAGATTTGAAGATACCGTTTCTTAGCTAAACATTCACTTTTTTTAAGGTACTAGTGTGAACAAAGACTGGAAACTTCTCAATACACACTCAATAGTAGCCTATCAGATGATTTATGAAACTAGATAGATAACGAAAACATTTATAAATTCTTACTTGATTGGTTATTTTGAAAATATTCCACGGTTGTATTAGCATTACTCATGTCCATTCACTTGAATATCTATCTTCTTGAAACTTAGTGGCAATGTCACAAATGTACTCTAATCAGTTATTTACTACGTCATTTTCAGTTCTCCAAAATGTAGTTATTCCGCAATAACTTGTTCAGTTAAGATTACATAACAATCACATTTATAGCTGTGGATATATTTTTCATAATTATCAAAATGAAATATCACTGGCTATTATTTATTTCATTGAGAACTAACACAATAACTTACACAGACAGATATAATTGTCAAATCCAAAGCTTAATTAGTAAAAGAACAGTATTAAACAGTTTCAAACAATTTTACACATGTAATATGCATGACTAATGAGTAAATCATACCATTCTCAATTAGTCAGCTGAAGCTTTCAAGTGGAGCAACTGCTTACCAAAACAAATGCAGTCTTTGATGCCCCAGATTCGTGTCTTGATAATTTCACATGCTTCAGTGGCCACAGAGAAGGTAACTAACCATAGATGTTGGTTATACAAACATAATCAGTAGCTTATCTCTAAGCTGTAATTAAAAATTGAGATATTTTAGTGACCGACTCAATTGGACAGAAAATAGCCAACTGGTACAACACTTTATCCCCAGGTTCTTATTGCTAGTGTGATTTAACTTGACCTATTGACTGACAATATAATTAAGAAAACAGACTCCTATATCTGGTTCTGTTTCGCTTTTCCCTGTCATTCACAAAGAATATTGTAAAAGGATAGACACTCAATAATTCAAAACGACTTACACCAGTCATTACATCCAAGTGAAGACATTGGAAGTAGTATCACGCTAATAATTATTACGGGGTTTACAGATCATTTTTGTCTGAGCTGATGTCTAGACTAAAGAAAAGATTGTACATATGCTATCTCTAGGAGAGGAAATACTAGGCGAACAAGTTCAAGGCCTTGACAAAACTTGACAAATGATATTCTGTGCATTTACTTCACTTTGTATCCCACCTTGCCCATACATCTGGAAGCCATGCTATGGTGGTGATCTCACCTGCCTTACTCCATATGTCCAGATTCAGGACAAATATGATGAACCAGTTTGAACTATGGTATATAATGTGGCTATTATATCTTATTCTTCTACTGTCCCACTTCGAAATTTCATATAAACTTCCATAATTAATGTACTTTAATATCTGATTTATAATCTTATTAGGTGATTTGTGGTACCCTACTATTCTTGTATTGTTGGCAGCTATCAACCAATGTGCTTTTAAACCGAGCAAGATCCTCCAATGAGGTAGGAATCAAGTCAGTTGTTTGTGAAAATAAATTCTCAAATTGTACATCAGTATCTAATTGGTTGATTCTATGCCTACTTACACAGAATTTAGGTCCCAGAGATAAAGCTTCTAGCTGTATTACATCTAGTTCAATATTGGAAAAATTATGTACGAACCGTTTCGTGTCGAAAGGAAACTCTTTTTCTGGCTTTTGGTTTTCCAAAGTTTTCATTAGTTTTGTTAACGTTTTCTCAGATCTGTTCTCGTAAATTTTTCTAACATAATCCATAAACATTGACTGAAGCTCTGGAGGCCGGTTTTTAATGGAATATTGTCTCGGAAGAAGATTCCTTTCTAATTCGCAGATATTCATTTTTAAAGTATCAATTTGATTCGACGCATGTCTTTTAAATGTTTTTGCATTAGGATAGATTCGGTTACGACGTAAAGACTTCCAATATATTTTAGGATATCTATTAGATTGTATACAATTATTAGCAAATTCTAAGCTCGTTTTCGCTTCTGTGAGACGTGCATTAAACTTCAGAAACTCATTAAGTGTCTTAAATGCAACACGGTCCACGCGATTTTAGAATATTAAAGATTCCCATTGTGAAAATTAGAACTAATGAAAACTTTGGAAAACCAAAAGCCAGAAAAAGAGTTTCCTTTCGACACGAAACGGTTCGTACATAATTTTTCCAATATTGAACTAGATGTAATACAGCTAGAAGCTTTATCTCTGGGACCTAAATTCTGTGTTAGTAGGCATAGAATCAACCAATTAGATACTGATGTACAATTTGAGAATTTATTTTCACAAACAACTGACTTGATTCCTACCTCATTCCACCAAAGCCGAGCCGCTGTATAAGTATGAAAGAGGGTGAATAATGTGGGAAATAATAATAATAATAATAATAATAACGACAATAATAGTAATAATAATAGTATTAATAATGACAATAATAGTAATGATAATTATTTGAATCGATTGATTGTTTTTGTTTTTCGGAGCGATAAAAGTAGTTGCCAAAGACATAGAGTTCATCGTATGTGTGTGGGCTGTGATACTGCCCGGGTGCCCAAACCGAAGCAGGTGGTTTTCTTAGGGGGCCACTCCCCGAGCCTTTGACCTAAAGGTCTAACCCACAAGGCAGTGGAGCATCGTAAGGAGATGCAATCCCATGGTAGCCGTTGACCAAAGATTGGTTCATACGCCATTTGTTCCCGCAGGATACTGGAGCCCATGTGCACCATTGGTTTGGGATCCGGTTAAAGCGCCGGACATTCGCTTTTCGTCCTCTCATTTTCGTAAACAACACCCCCGCCACGAGAAGGCAATGAGTAGGACTTCCCTGGCAGAGGCTGTATACGCGCGGCCGTGTGAGAGTATTTCGAGAGGGAGAGCGGACTCACCCCACTCTCGGCCGTACCAGGGCATTCGGGGGCCCTTAGGTTTTTTTTTCTTTCTTTGTATTCCTCTCGAATTTTCATTGTTTTGTGTGGCGCATATATATTGGCGCTCCCCTGTACCAATATTCATGTGTCCAAATAAATAAATAAATAAATCCTACCTCATTGGAGGATCTTGCTCGGTTTAAAAGCACATTAGTTGATAGCTGCCAACAATACAAGAATAGTAGGGTACCACAAATCACCTACTAACCAAGCAGCACCGAGACTCTTTATAATCTTACTGTTTGTTGTTTATCTAAGCTGAGTTTAGCTTATGAATAGACTTAAAGTAAAACAAGCTCAGTTTATTCCACGACTTTTGTTCACAAACTAAGAGAAAAATGTTAAGAGCAAGTAGCACTATTTTGGTGTTGTAGGATTTTCTAAAATTTTCACTAATCTTTTGGGTGTGAAGAAATTGTGCGTTACGAAAAATTCAGAAAGGCATAATAGTTAGTCAGGCTTACGAATAGAATGCAGAAACCAATGTTCATATAGTTTTACTCGAAGTGAATCTCAGAAAATTTTCGAAGTTTCGTGAGATTAAAATGCACTCAAGTAGGAAAGTAAATAATATTATATATCTATGTACAACAAATCAACTTAATATCACTTGAATTAAAGGGGATCAATCTAAGCAACGTACAGACTATCAGATGTCATAAATTGAAAATACGCTTTGACTAAAAACAATCAAAGATCAGTTTCATAGAAAAAAAGTTAGGAAAGTCAAGATTTACAGCATTTTAATAAAAAGTCGATAATATTAAGTTACACTTTACCTATCCACATAGGTCATATTAATGGTAAATCCTCTTGGTATCCACACACCCCCACCATTCCGCGACAACCACACCCTAGATATATTCAAGGCAATATTGTTATTTAAAAGCCGATTTATCCATTGAGTTATGTATGAGCAACGCTTCTCCTTTGGATATGTAACTGCTATTATATCAACCGGTTCTCCAGTGCACATTTTGGTATATACAGATTTGGGATCATCAAAGGGAAAACGATAAAATGTATAGATAGACGGTACGATTACCTGTATTAGGAAAAAAGACGTATAGAATTGGAATACTGTAAGTAGCATGAAATTTATTGCTCCAGATTCTTCAAAGTTATGAATTTTCATCACACAAATGCCTCATTCGTAAATATTTAAAATTTTGACTTTTGAATTATTGGAGAACCCTAGATTTACAAACAATTCTCCACTCAGCCGTCCACATACTAAGCAATCACAGAAGTATATTTTACTCATATGACATATGTTTAAACAGAATAGAGAACTGCTGCTTTCAGAGATGGTCATTTACTCAATGACTCATACTGATTAGGTAACTCAGTTGTTAGGAAACGGGTACTAGGTAAGGATGGCAAATCCATTGATGAAGTAGTGAAACTTCATCAGTTGAGATGGCTGGGACGTGTGTTACGTATGCCCAACCACCGACTACCCTGACGTGAGATGCTTTCTGGTGTAGGAGTACGTTGTAAGAAAGCTAATGGCGGTCAGACTAAAACATGACACAAATCCATGAAGTCACTGACAAGTGAACTGAGCTATGTTGGTAGGTGTAAACTGCCTGGTTGGGGTCTGCGAGATGATAGCAACCGATGGTTAGAGACGTTGAATGACATGGCTCAAAATCGTTGGCAATGGCGCAGGTGCATACACTCTTTGTGTTCTCCCAAATTCTAATCTTCTGAATTCCTCATGTCCCTTATTTTCATTCCAAATTTCTTTCACTGGATTATACTCCTTGAATAACATCTTAAAACCCTAATCTTTCCGATTACTGCTTATACTCTTACTATTTCAACCACTACGGGATTTGGATCGACAACTGCATCTCTGTGCTAATGTGGCATGGCAATTCAAACTGATTTACGCACGTACGAAGTTCCACCTTGTTACTGACTGATTGAATTATGGACTATATCCCATGAATAAATAATTATATTTATCTAATTGAACTAAAATTCAAAACGTATATAAAATAAATAAAATGTGGTGAAATAACATACAAAATGGAATTGATCACGTCTAACGTATCAGTAGCTTACTGGCCTACTCTTCATAACTCTCGTTGAGAATCATAGGCACCAACCAGTATTCTCCATCCAACTCTGTTCTGGACAATCCTTCCTAACACTTTCTAGTTGCTAGTCATTCTTCTCATGTCTGATTTCAATTCACAACGTAATGTGTTCTTCCGCCTTCCTTTTGCAGTTTCCCATCAGGATTCCAGGTAAGCGCTTGTCCTATGATGCAGTTTAGTGAGTTCCGTAATATATATCCTAACCACCTCCAACATATTTTGCCAATTTCCTCTTCAACTGGAAGCTGGTTTGTTCTTTTCCACACTAGAATGATGCTGATGGTATTCAGCCAACGGAAATTCAGTATCTTGCGTGGACAATTGTTTAGAAACACTTGTACCTTTTTGTTGATGCTTGAAGTAGTTATTCATGTTTCATTTCCGTAGAATAGAAATAACTATCTTGAAGTTTGTATTTGAATTCGAGTATTTGATAGTGGCTGACAGTTGTTTTGATTTTCATATGTCCTTCAATTACAGGAATGTTGTTCCTGTTTTGTTATTCATAGCCTTTACATCTGCTTATCAATCGACTGTGAAAGCGTTGTTGTTATCCGTGTTGTGTATAAGGATATTGCTTATTTCCATGTGCATGTTGAGGCTTACTGATACATAGGCTGCTGCAACACTGGCTATCTTCATTTGCAATGATGGTATATATAGAATAAAACAGATAGGTCTATTCAAGAGTTCCCCGAAGTGTTCTATCCACCTCTTGCTCTGTTCTTGAATCTCAGTGATTGACTTGCATCCTTTGTCCTTGACAAACCTCTCTGGTTTACTATATTTCCTTGCCAGCTTCTTCGTTGTGCAATATCGTTGTTTGATATTTCCTTCTTTTACAGTTTTTCCCACTGTCGGTACTAGGTCTTACACATACTTTTGTTCGCTCCAGTGTATTCAGCTTATGACTTGACTTTCTCCGTTCTAGTTCGACCATTATTGTTAATTGCGGTCTTCCTGTTCCTCCTTTCTTAGTCGTGTCCAGGGTTTGCATAGAGATGAATTCCTTATGATGATGCTTGTTGCGGCCCACAATCTCCTGCCTGATACGTTGAAGTTAATGCTTGTTCGATACCTTTCCAGTTGTCCTCCATGGTAGTTTCTTCTTCTTTCAGTAGATCCTGTGAGGCTTGTGGCGTGTTGTTGAGAGTTATCTTGAATTGGTTGAGTTTGCTAGTATCTGGAAGGAAGGTTGTATTGAGTGTTTGTAATGCTGTTTTTCCAGTTGTCCAATGCTTCTTTCGCTTTAGTTTCACCTTGATCACATTCAGGTAGATGGTGATCTGAAGCAATGTCAACTACTCTCCTGATTCTCACGTCTTCCATCGACCTTCTGAATTTTTTACTGATGCAAATATGATCGATCTGGTTCTGTGTAGTGTGATCCGTCGAAACTCAAGTGGCGTTGTGTATGCGTTTGTGGTGGAATAACAACTTAATTGAATGCACATAGATTCGTAAATCTCTCCCCATTCTCGTTCATTTCTCCCAGTCCACAGTCCATTTCGTCCCACGATATGTTCGTATCTCATGTTGTTCATTCCCACTTTGGTATCTAGGTCTCCCATCGGGATGGTCAGGTCTTTTCCTGTGCATTTCTCTATGATTGATTGCAGCCTCTCTTAACACTGATTTTTATCGTCGTCATTGCTATCATTGGTGGGTGCATAACACTGAATAATATTCATTGTGATTTCGTCCTTCATTATTTTGAAGGATGCTTTGGTGATTCTGGATCCGTGAAATCCCCATCCTGTAAGTGCATTTCGTGCTTGATTGGACAGCATCGAAGCAAATGCTTGAGTGTTTGGGGCATTTTCCTCTTCGTGACCGGAGTACAGCAGCATCTCTCCTGAAGCTAATCTTTTCTGTCCAGTTTGAATCCAATAGTTTTCACTGATTCCGAGTACTGTCGAGTCGTGCCTCCTCATTTCCGTTACTGATTGATTGGTCCTTCCAATCTCCCACATCGTTTGGAAATTCTATATAACTATAAAAATTGTTGCTGTGATTGTTAGGTGTGACATCAGCCTCATGAATTTCGAACAATCTCGGCCTTCATCCTGAGGCATCATAATTCTCCTGAATGAACATCCTTCAACTCGGAGAGTAGAGTTTAAATGGTTTAACTTGTTTAATCTGGTTGTCGTCTGTTTTAGTAGGATTATTTCCTACTGGATGTGGTTGTTGATCCCATGCTCAAATTTTCTCCTTTATCTCTGCTTTTGACCGGCAGTAACCGTAGATAAATTCTAGGCGGAGTTATCATTTATAGTATAAAGAGTCTCTGTATCAAAAAAATTAACTGATAATTATAACCGAACATTTGATTTTTCTTGACTACATAATCACTCTTATACATAAGCGTTTTCAATTTCACACTTTTTTTGAATTTTATTGTGATTTCACAACTCAGATTAAATGATCATTGTCGGATCTCATATCTGTTTACTTTAAATAAAGCAAAGCGAATTAATTAGGTTAAGAAAAGCATTATCAGTAAGATAAAAATAACAGTTTATAAGCGGACACCGTATACTGATTTCACCAAACAATTTTTCAGAATTCAACACATTACATAATAATTATGCAGATTAAAACGTATAATATGAAATAATTTATTTCACTTACTGCTGGAGTAGTAGTAATAAACATAAAGCTACCAGAAGTAGAATAGGAACCAATTGTCATATTGTAAGTGAAATTTATCGGTACCTTGTTATAATTAGCAGTAAACATTGGAATGTGATAACTTATCTCATTTGTTAGTGATAATGTTGAATCATTTACAATTCCTATACAAAACCAAAACACAAACTAGCAATTAAAAGTTAATTTTCCACAGTTATTTATTTTTATCTCAGATAAGTTGTAACCAAATGTGGACGAAGAAAAACAGTGTTAATTGTATGAAGTGTACAATGTGATTAATCATCTGTCTTAGGTTATTGGTTGTAATTATTTGATAATTACAAGAAGAGCTTTATCACTTGGAATTTACCATGTAAACAAATACATCACATCATCAACATCTAGTAATTCTTGAACATGATGAATATGTAGTTGTAAACAGCAAAAAGACGACATTATTGACTTGCTTCAGTTACAATCAACAAAAAATCAGATTTATTTCACTAAATTTGACAAAACGAAGTATTTGGTTTTGCATTTTGTAACAGTTCGGTGAATTTTATTCTGTTAAAAACACATGTTGATTAATCAGTACAAAAGTTATATTCAAGATCCTAACTCACTACAACCAATCAAACAATAAAAATACAATCTATGATACGTTTATTCAAAAATTTCCCAAGTGATTTATAGACCCTTTTCGAAATGACAATGGATTTTCCAGTTGTCTAAAATATTCGTTGATCTTCCTTTTCTTCAACAGAGTATAAATTAATATAGTTTTGCACTTAATTGAATATACTCAAGATAATTCGTAGAGTAAATTTAGTTTTTCGATGTAAAATCAGGTTACTAACTGAGAGACTAATAAAAGACTAACCGTTTTACCAATTCACACAACTCTATTTATACAAAATGTGTTTAATTGTATTCAAACATAACAATTTTCCAAGTTTACATATCAGCCATTCATGTGTCAAATTGAGAAACTAAGTGGAAAATATAATTGTGAAATATAATCATTTAGATTATATTTGTAATCAGTGCATTCGTGAAATCACAATAAAATTCAAAAAAAAGTGTGAAATTGAAAACGCTTATGTATAAGAGTGATTATGTAGTCAAGAAAAATCAAATGTTCGGTTATAATTATCAGTTAATTTTTTTGATACAGAGACTCTTTATACTATAAATGATAACTCCGCCTAGAATTTATCTACGGTTACTGCCGGTCAAAAGCAGAGATAAAGGAGAAAATTTGAGCATGGGATCAACAACCACATCCAGTAGGAAATAATCCTACTAAAACAGACGACAACCAGATTAAACAAGTTAAACCATTTAAACTCTACTCTCCGAGTTGAAGGATGTTCATTCAGGAGAATTATGATGCCTCAGGATGAAGGCCGAGATTGTTCGAAATTCATGAGGCTGATGTCACACCTAACAATCACAGCAACAATTTTTATAGTTATATAGAATTTCCAAACGATGTGGGAGATTGGAAGGACCAATCAATCAGTAACGGAAATGAGGAGGCACGACTCGACAGTACTCGGAATCAGTGAAAACTATTGGATTCAAACTGGACAGAAAAGATTAGCTTCAGGAGAGATGCTGCTGTACTCCGGTCACGAAGAGGAAAATGCCCCAAACACTCAAGCATTTGCTTCGATGCTGTCCAATCAAGCACGAAATGCACTTACAGGATGGGGATTTCACGGATCCAGAATCACCAAAGCATCCTTCAAAATAATGAAGGACGAAATCACAATGAATATTATTCAGTGTTATGCACCCACCAATGATAGCAATGACGACGATAAAAATCAGTGTTAAGAGAGGCTGCAATCAATCATAGAGAAATGCACAGGAAAAGACCTGACCATCCCGATGGGAGACCTAGATACCAAAGTGGGAATGAACAACATGAGATACGAACATATCGTGGGACGAAATGGACTGTGGACTGGGAGAAATGAACGAGAATGGGGAGAGATTTACGAATCTATGTGCATTCAATTAAGTTGTTATTCCACCACAAACGCATACACAACGCCACTTGAGTTTCGACGGATCACACTACACAGAACCAGATCGATCATATTTGCATCAGTAAAAAATTCAGAAGGTCGATGGAAGACGTGAGAATCAGGAGAGTAGTTGACATTGCTTCAGATCACCATCTACCTGAATGTGATCAAGGTGAAACTAAAGCGAAAGAAGCATTGGACAACTGGAAAAACAGCATTACAAACACTCAATACAACCTTCCTTCCAGATACTAGCAAACTCAACCAATTCAAGATAACTCTCAACAACACGCCACAAGCCTCACAGGATCTACTGAAAGAAGAAGAAACTACCATGGAGGACAACTGGAAAGGTATCGAACAAGCATTAACTTCAACGTATCAGGCAGGAGATTGTGGGCCGCAACAAGCATCATCATAAGGAATTCATCTCTATGCAAACCCTGGACACGACTAAGAAAGGAGGAACAGGAAGACCGCAATTAACAATAATGGTCGAACTAGAACGGAGAAAGTCAAGTCATAAGCTGAATACACTGGAGCGAACAAAAGTATGTGTAAGACCTAGTACCGACAGTGGGAAAAACTGTAAAAGAAGGAAATATCAAACAACGATATTGCACAACGAAGAAGCTGGCAAGGAAATATAGTAAACCAGAGAGGTTTGTCAAGGACAAAGGATGCAAGTCAATCACTGAGATTCAAGAACAGAGCAAGAGGTGGATAGAACACTTCGGGGAACTCTTGAATAGACCTATCTGTTTTATTCTATATATACCATCATTGCAAATGAAGATAGCCAGTGTTGCAGCAGCCTATGTATCAGTAAGCCTCAACATGCACATGGAAATAAGCAATATCCTTATACACAACACGGAGAACACCAATTCTATCACACTTGATTGTCAAGCACTTGGCGAGATGGAATCTTTCACGTACCTTTGTAGTATCATTGATGAAAGAGGAAGATCATAAGAATATATAAAGCCATGATAGGCAAAGGAGGTACAATTGTCTGAGCAAGATACTTATCGTCCATTCGCCAGGCATCATCAACAACAAACCCTTCTAGCAGAGATCAAACTAGATTTTTGTTGAAGACGAAATTAGAAAACGATGCTGGAGGTTGAGTGGTCAAACATTGCGGGCCTCATCAAAGTTCATCACGGAGCAAGCCTTAATGTTGAATCGTTGAAACCAATAAAGTATCCAGACCCAAGAAAACGTTGCATCGTAAACTGAAGGCAGACACCGAACTGATGAATAATATTTAGCAAAGACCGAAAAGAAATGCCCACGACACAGTTGGTCGGTGAATTCTGGTCGTTTACCTGAGCTGTACGATAATTAAGCGACGTAGGCTCATTTCTGGGTAATTTCAATGATAAAACATAATATTTATCAACTTAAGGCAGGAACACATCGATTCCTCTTTTATCATAAATTTATTGTCTCTCCTCTGCACAGTGGTTCATATGTCGTCATATTTTGGCTTTTCGAATAAGTTACTTCTTATCGATTAGCATTACTGCTAGTTTTTTGTCTATATTTCATCTGGACTTAATACATATTACCGAAAAATCTCAATTTAATCCAAACCGAATTCAAGTGTTTTCCTTGAATAACTCTTAATATAATACTGCATCCTTCGAGAAACCGCTTTGCATTCGGACCAATCCTGTCATACAATATTCGAAAGAAAAACTTATTGACAGTTTTCTAAGAGGGAGTATTTCACGTAAAATTACAAATGCTTTTACTACAACAGTATTTGTAGAAATAAAATCATAAAAATCAATTGATGAAGAATTATTTTCATAGGTGTCGTAATTTACAAATTAGTTATGCAAAAACATACTATTAATTAATAATAGGAAATCTATCGATGACAACTTCGGTCAATAAAATGGTTAAATAAATACAAACAAACCTTCATAATAAGTTCTCTCCACGTTAATATAAACCATATTATCTATAGCAGTTGCTGATAAGCTGATAAACGGTAATGTTGAGCATTGAGTTTTGAATCGTGGATTTAAAAATATGTATTCTTTGAAGGAACCTGGTGCATAAAGTCGAAAATCTATTGTCCCCCATAAATTCGGTTTTGGAATTAAGGATAACTTTAGCCACGTATAGGCGTTCGGTACAAGTTGATTTTTAGTAGTCATCGGTTCAAGGGATACTAACTGCACTTGCGGTTCTTGGCTCTTTGGCTTTAAAACGATCAACAAACGTGAGTTAGTGTTGGACATTTTCAAAGGAAAATAAAGTAGATTTTCATTTTCAGTAAAACATAAAAGTAAAAACACTACCATAACATATAGAAGAGTCGTTTCAATGCTTTACAAAATCCTAATTGTAAGGCGTAGTCAATACATATGATCATGAATTTAAACTTATTCTGAAAAAAACTGGAAGTCTATTAACTTTCACTTCTCCTTACTCATGCATGTTGGGCTTCATGAGGTCATCATCCTGAAATCAAAATTTACATCATGAAATTCAGTCCCTAACAAGCGTCTCTGCCTAATTCTGATATCCAGTCATTTCGGACTAACATCTGTAACATCAAACCAGTCTTTATTACATACAGCTTTGAAATGGGATTCACTAGGAATGCTAGTATTGATCAAGTGAACATGGTTCATTACCACAGCTATAACAATATTTTCATAAACATGAGACCCTTCTATCTATTGGGCATAAATTCACTGGCAATAAAAATCAATGTGAGATCGTTGCCCACTATCGTGGATTCATTGAAGTTAGACTTGTACACTATTGGATTCCGACTCAGCGGTCTAAAGGTCAGGCGTTTTCGATCGAGGCCGAATGTCCTGGGCGCGATTCTCAACTTCAGGCTAGCGGATGTGGGTTCCTGAGAGATCCTAAACCGTAATGAAACAACTGTCCAGTGCTACCAGTTTTTCAGTTGCTGTCTAACTTGGATCGGTTGGCGACTTCAATAAAATCCAATAATCTCTACGACCCCAAACTGACAATACGGTGTTCCTTTAAAAATAAATGTTACCATTAGTATGTGACAACAAATATGATTCTATAACTCTAACATGTTGGTGTTAGAGTGATCTGCTTTTCATGAAACCAGTACGGCATGAATTGTAACATGTCTTAATTCACGATGCTTACTTCCGAAAATATTATCAAAGGATTCACCTTCAAAAACTAAGTAGTTCTGATACTGTTGTCAAAATTCACAACACCTAGTCGAGCTAAAATATAAAAGTCCCCCCTTCTGACTCTGTAAGCTGTGCGTGTGTCTGTTACTCACTCGTAGCAATAAGCAATCAATGAGAAATAGTTCTGAGACAAAATGTTGAATAAAATTGAGATGAAAATTTGAGTCATACCATCTGAATAGAATAGTTAGTTTGAGCAGTGATTGTTAATGTCTTCGTGAACAAAGATCCAAGGGTGGAAAGCTTGAAGGTGATAACGAATGGCATGGTGGTGATTGGCATTACTGAATAACGAAATGCTATATCACACTGAGAGTCAGTACATGTTTCGTTAAAGTATACCGTGTTAAGTTGTGCTATAATTGAATCTCTGTAATAATGAAGAAGAAAATACTGTTTATAGTAATAATAAGAATATTTATTATTAACTTTCAGACTAATCAAGATATATTAACGTATTTATTGATTTTTTAAATTTTCTGGCTTACAGATAGTTTAGTGTTCAATAAAACTACTTGTGAACGCTGATTTCAGATGAATAACAGAGAGTAGGTGATTGTGTCTAATTTAAACATGATTGTTGTAAGAAATATTATTCCCAATTTAAATATCAATATTTATGATCATTGAATGATTCAACTCTACGAGGTACTCCAAAACAGAGTTTTTAACTTTTTTTCTTTCATTATTAAGATACCACACTGAAGAGCATATATTCATCAATCACTGAATGACTTAATTTCACTCTTTATTATGTTGCAAATCGATGGCGTAGCAATGGGAAGCCCACTAGGTCCAATTATGGCAGATATTTTTATGGGTTATCTTGAAAACATGGTACTTAAACAGGCAATTAGTGAAACAACGGAATACTCCAGATATGTGGACGACACGTTTATATTATCTGTAACAATAAACAGCATGCAATCCACCTGCTCAAACTTTTCAATAACGCTCACACTAACACACATTTCACTATGGAGGACGAACAGAACGACATGTTCCACTTTCTTGATGTTGCCATAAAACGCAGGGGAGACGGGACAGTCCAACGTTCAGTTTATAGAAAAAGTAATTGGAATGGCCTCTACATGAATTTCAATAGTTTTTGTCCAATTAAATACAAGAAGGCATTGGTTAAAACACTATTTTACAGGGTAGAAAATATATGTACCACCGACAAACTGGAAGAAGAATTAATGAACGTAGAAAAATGTCTAAAAGACAACTTTTATCCACAAAAGTTTATTAACAAATATAAAAAGCCCAGAAGAAAACAAAACGGAAATAACTACGGTTAATAAAAAGCCAATAGATATAAATCTTAACTTTAAAGGTGATAACGTCGCACATATAATCAACAGGAGACTGAACACTGCTCTAGCCAGAACTTATCCGGCTGCTAAACTTTTAACTCTCTATAAAACAACATATTCAATAACCCAATCAAAGATCGATAAGCAACCCTTTCATGTTACCGCCAACTGTATAAATTTACGTGTATCTGCCAAAGCAGCTACATCGGCCGAACTGAAAGGAGAGCATATCTTAGGTTTTTCGAACATGTTCCAAAAAGTCTTAGAACAAGAGAAAGAAAGACTCTGAACAGTGCAATCACCAAACATCTTCTTGATACAGGACATCAGGTAGATACCTTACAATCCTTTAGGCTGATTAGTAAACAGCCAAACTCCAGTCTTCTGAAGCTTGCTAAAAACTGCCATCAAGCGTCAAAAACCTGACCTAAGTGTTCAAAAAGAGACGGTGGTTAATCTTTCCTTGCCCTGGTGACAAATATTCCTTCACTGCACCTTAAAAAATTTTTTCTCTTTTTTATTTTGTATTTATTACATCATTGATTTTATTTTATTTTTTCAACTATCTTTCAAATTAATAATCTTTCAACTCTACTCACTATATTCCTATCAATGTTTATTCATTATGTAATCAATTGTTTCTAACGCACTTTTGAACTGTCGTCACAATTAACGTTGTAGAATATTCTTTCACATTAGGTATATATTTACAATATTCAGTAAGCAATTTAAACCCATTATGTAATTATGATTTTTAAATATCACAGGTTGTAAGCAGCTGACGAGAAACTACGAAATAAAATGAATTCATGCTATTCTGCTAGAATCTTTGTTCTTGCTCTTTTCAAAATGATAAAGGGAACTATGTGTATGAAATTACAGAAGTCGGTCAAAATCTCAGTCTTTGGGTATCTAGTCAATTCCGGCCACTCCACCCCATCGGAAGCCTGCTTCAATATCATACATACGGTCAGAAGATTTAGCTCAACTGGAATGCGAATAAAAATCCCATGTACAGCAGAGACTATTGCCGTCCACCAGATTAAACATAAACATTGCGTACACAAACAGTATGTTCAGTCCCTCATTCTTCCATGATCTTAACCACCCTTCCTATCTTCCATAATCTATTTTTTTATTTTTATTATATTATTCCTATTTTCCAATTGTTTCCACAACTGCCAAGTAGCAATTATTACACATTTTAAATGTTCTGTTCTTACTCGCAATCAAGTGGACAATTATCTTCACTACTTTTTATCAGACGATTATTACATAACTTCCTTTCAATATCTGATTCTCAAATCTTGACAACATGCCACTTCAAGTTTATAAATCGGTTAAAAATAGATTCGGATATGAAGCTGAATATGTGTAGCTGGAGTTGTGTATATTTTTGCACGTGCATTCTCCACTAATCATTCGAATTTCTTTATACAATGATTCTAAAAGGTTTCTGTTATTTATTTAGGAGCGTTTTTTATCTACAAGCAAGTTTAAGTTTCCGCGAATATTTTAGTTTAGAAATATAATGAAAATGCCTTAGTCAGTTTTTAAATAATTACCACTCTAGTGATTTCTGATCAAAGCCTATCCACACAAGCAATCACTATACCCTTCAAGATGTATGAAGGAAAATTTGAAGTATTTTATTTTGTTGGATTTGTGCAGATGAACGACGTAGTTGAGTGCTAGCTAGATGTTTCTTGATGACCATTTAACATATCATTATTCTACTTCGTCTGAGCTTCGTCGTTTTTACTCTTCTGTGCTTAATAATCTTGATTATGAAAGATCCCATTTTATGAGAACTGCTTTGTTTGTTGTTGAAACTTGAAACAGTAAGGGATAATTAGACATATAATTATCATAGAGGAAATAAAATGGGTACACTTAATTGCTATTACTTACGGTTTCGTAATGTAAGAAGGCGAAACAGGAGCCATAGTTCTTAATAAATATCCAACTGTCTGGATATTTTTTCTAATTATGATACCATAAGCTGGATTCGCTTGTATCACGAGAGTGACTGCTGTGTAAACTAAATCCTCAGAAAATTTCACACGACATTCAACAATGGCGGCAAAGTTGACCAGTGGTTGTGAATTTCGTGGTTCTATTTTTTCAATCGTAAGTGTTGGAACTTTGGACGGCTGTATTCAGGAGGAGTTTACAAACAGCAACAATGAGGCAGATTATAGTTTATAAAGTTCTAAAATTAGTTTACATTCGTTTACAGTTTTTATGGGTTTCAAGTCGAGTGACAGAAGCTTCTGTAAGCCGAATTTGTTTCCGTCTAACACTGGTAAGCATATAATTAAATAGAGGAAGTGACCACAAAAGCGAAAACTTCCATCACAAATACTAGTATCTTTTTTTATTCGATTAGTGACTTTCTTATGAAATGTCATTCTTTAGGCAGATAAATAACAGTTATTTCGATGATTCACTTTCCGTAAGTATAACAGCAGAATATTTACAAATAAACTATTGCATAATAATTGACGTATTTACAGATATAAGGAATAGGATGAACAAATATTTAATACTAAAGTCAAAATAATTTCAGAAAGAAAAGATATCTAGGTCGTTCTTTAATCTTTATCGCCATTCTCATACAACTTTTCTTTACCAAAGAAAACGATGATCAAAATATGTAGCAGTGAACGGTTATATTACAGTTGTTTCGAACTGCCACTTCATTCTCACTATGGGAGAATTCAGAATGTTTCCATGATTGATTTATAATGAGCCAATCAATGTTGCTTTATAGTATACATCATGTATATGGCCCAGTTAAAACACAGTTAAGAATCTGAAAGCAGTGGGCATATTCCCCGTTCACGTATATGTATTCACAATTGCATCAATGATTGAATCCACAGTGTTGAATTCTGCCGTCGGAGTTTTAACCTTTAGATCACTAAGTCGTAATCGAATAGTTTACACTTACGACTTTAATGGATGTGTGAATTGTTTAGGATAACCCAAGGCAGTAATACAAGTATTTGGTGCAAACAAATGATTTCATCAAACCTATTAATTTAAAACTATAAATACCGATAAAATTAGCACCACTCTCACACATTGCACAAATCACATTTTCTCACACACTCGGATACAGATGACTACATACAAATATTCCTAATATTAGATCCAATTTGACCCGACTGGCATGACAATAGCATGATCAGACTTGTTTCCTTTGTACTAAATACGTGATTTGTTCCTCTGCAGTATTTAAACTTGTACTGATATGATTCATTGGTCTATTCTATGAAGAAGTAATTCATGCTGATTCGTGAAACATCAGAAATACAGTTTCCTATTCATTAGGCTACTACAAATATATCACGGAAAAAGGATCCCATGTTATTTCGTGAGATATGTGATATTGCAAGCAATGACTAAATCACAATCGGAGTACGACTGACATGTGAAATCGGTCGTCTGTGATATTGAATCACATTTTGAGGAGTAATTCTATAACTCAGTTAATTAGTTACATATGTTGGTTATAGATGCTTAATTGTATGATATGGTAAATCTGTATTCGCACATTTAATTCTTAATTACCTGATAATAAATACTCCTCAGTTCGAATTATGCAAATCCGTCAGTTAATCTGACTAAAGAAATCATATAAGATGTAATGTATTCATATATTATTGTAATTTATATGCAGGGTCAAATAAATCCTTACCACCAGTCTTTGTGTTTTCAATGTGTATCATCGAGTTCGGGGTATCCATACTGAGCACATCTCAATAAAGTATTCCACAAACATATCACTTTACTATCATAAACAATCTACACAACGCTCATTTCAGTTGAAATCATTAAATGGCATGCTGGTGATGATATTTCAAAGTAGACAAATTCAATTTAACATTCTATTTTATGGATTTGCATTCTATTAATTTTTATTTTTTCAGTTTCTCAGTCACCATTGAATATTCAGAGCTATCAATTTAACATTTCATTTGTTCGAAAAGTTAGTAAAATTTCTAAATTGTCAAGTTGTTTTAAGGTCTCTGCTATAATCTGTTTGAGAAAGTAGTAAATCAGGAAAAAAGCACTTTCAGGATTAATCCAGTAATAAAATTATCAATTAGATTGTAATTACATTGATAACTTGGTCAGTTATTCCTTATTCCATCTCGATCCACTAGTCAATTACAAAAACATATAGATACACTATATTTCAGTAGCAACTCGATCATTAACTCAAGATATGCATGTAATATATATAGGATAACATCAGATGAAGTTAGATGTTTAAACGAAATATATTATCGAAGTATGTGCTTTAGATTAGATTAGACTAATAAATAAAAAATGAAGTAAACCTACAGGAATAATCGATGGTGGTTGGACCATAGAATTTATTGAAAATACAACATTCTGTGTATTCACAGCCAATTTATCTGTACTTAAAGTAAATTGTATTTGGATCACATCACCCGTTACGTAACTGGTGTCATAGCATAACTTGATTCCAAACACAAAATTATAAGTGATATTCCGGGCACTTTTATTTTCGAATATACCAAGTGGTGTACTACTCCCACTTCTTCGTGAGTTCAATATAGTGTATTCTGATATTAATCTAACCTGTAGTGTTTGTAAGTGAGTTGAAAGGAGAAGAAAGTAATCAAAATGTTGTACAACGAAATTACTTAGTGGACAATATTCATTACAGGCAAAGAGGAACAAATAAAAGTGTTGAATTGCAAACCTCATGGAAGTGTTAACCTCTTTCTGAATATTACTGGTATCGGATATTATCGTTCAGAAATAGTTACCTTCTATTAACAGTTTCTGAATGTTTGAAGTATGACTTGAATATTTTGAGAATTGTTGAAATAAAATTACATGTGAATTCGTGTTATAGTATAAAGATATTGATAATTCAATGAAATTGCTTTTGTTATATTTCTCATTTACTAGATGTGAAGTATGGGAAACGAGTTTTTTTCGATTATGCAAATGATTATACTACATTTTTCCACAATAGGTGGTTTCAAGCAAGATGTAAACCAGTAACACGTCCTGTGACTTCATTTCCACTCCATATAGCTAACCTTTGAAAATCACTCTGAACACGCATTTTAATCGCTTTCATCAGTAGGCGTTGTTCCATGCAAAACGTTATAATCTTGTAAGCAATAGAATAACTAAATTTCTCCAGTCTTTATTAAGATTATTAACACCTAGGATAGTTAAATCAGTTGCTTTCCACTTCCAAAATCAGTAGTCAGAAATTAAACTGGTATTTGACGCCTGTCATATGCATTTAGTCGATAGTCTTCTTTCACCTTCCACTAATGAGTATACATATGCCGAATTCCAGTCCTATTGATTTGGTATTATATCATAGCATGAAAATAATGACAATACTAATATTCACAAATAGAAATGGTAATCAGTTAAGTTATTCTCGTTTTAATGTTCGCTTAACGAGATTTTACGACAGGTTATCTTGCAGTCATATCCTCCTAATATATTCGATGGAATACCTTCACAATAAAATATTCCCAGCTATTACATATTTGAGATAAGTGGTACTATCTCCATTTACCATACTTTTACATAACTGAGGATTCATGTTTACTGGTCTCACTTATTTATGGTGAACTGACTGGGTTGTTTCATTTCATAATTACAATCATAATGTATTCATTTGAGTACAATGTCATAATGTTTGACGTTTTAATGGTAATTTATTGTTTCCAGGAAATAAGGTGATTTTGTTAATGTACATCGGTAGCGTTATTTCTGTCGTACCTGAGTCATTTAGAAATCTCCGAATCTAAAAATGATCTCTTGGAATTTCTTTTAAATTTCGCAAGAAGTTCTATAGAAACCGAGAAAAATGTTGGAACCTCTTTGACGAGTCAACACACATTGGAACTTTCAAAAAAGTCAGAGAATGAATTGATCATGCTTTATTCATTCGGATTCGATAAACAGATTTTTCGTATTAGTGAAACCGAGGGCACACATATGGGCTTCGCCAAATGGTTATGTCCTATACACCATTGTTGACGTCCACATCAAGACAGGGGCCTAGTAACTGTCATTTTAAACACAAATGCGTTCTGTTCTCAACTGTTAAGTTTAGATAACTGTTAGCTTATTCACTGAGTACAAATTCATTTTTAAAGACTTACTTTTTCCTTTGCTGATATTAAGGGCTGCGTTCGATCAGTTGTAGTGACCTGCTTTTATCAATAGAACGCAATTGGTGTAATGGAAACAATTATTATTATAACCATTTGTACCAGGGATTGTATTACCGTACTTGTTTGTTTAAGTGTACCAAAATACATACATTCTTCCGTTGCTCGTGACCTTGCACGAATTCGGTTATGCTCAGTAACCCAATTTGTAACCTGGCACGATATCGGTATTCTTTCGATACCACGAGATCGCCAACAAATACATCTCGACTACAGCCATCAACTGCCTTCTGATATTTGGCCTACGAGGGATCTTATCGGTTAACTGGCACATAGTTTTCCTGTAGTGGTGATCATAGTCAACCGCGACTCGACGCCACACTACACAGTCTTCATGTTAGTTGTGCATATTGAGCGGATTGCCTCGATATCACTTTTCCAAATACCTATAAATAAATTACTACGTTTATTACCAATTTGGGGCTTTTTCCCAAAGCTGCTAGAATTATATGGTCAGTCATAATCTTGTGGATATTCTCGTCTTCTCTAACTAATTAAATCTTCATAGTGAAAACTTTTTCATGTTTCACTGCTTTTGCTTTCAGTTCAAGGTTCAAAAAAGGACGATTTCTGAGGGCCAGTAAATAGATGGGAAGTCAGTGGCTCGTCGATCAAATGTATGATTTACCGAGATGCAACACAGTAAACTTACTTTTCGTGTTTGATTGTTTTCTTCTAGCAAGTAATCAATGTAACACACTTCTCCAAGTATTTTATTTTGGATTTTGGCCTCAAGAATATAGTAAGAATATGTATTTGGTGTGACAGTTAGTTGAACTGTGAAGAATTGAGTCTTTTCGACCTGATTCAAGACTGGAATATCCTTTATTGAAATAAAGTTTTTTCCAGGCTATATATTTGAAGAAAAGAGGTAAGTTAATTTTTACAGAAAGCTTAAAATTAATCTTACCGCAATGTAATTTGTAAATGAGGAGACTTGACTCTCACAAACATTCACCGTAGAATTTTCTCCTGTCGGTGAGACCTTTGCTTCAAACCTGGTTGATATTAAGCCATAGTTAGAGATCTGAATAAAAACTGTTAGAAGAACTGAGCGGTTGGACACTGATAGAGAAGTATCATAAGCCCCTACATGAAATTTGGAAAAGCAAAATATATATGAACATGTAGTTTTCCAGACATGAGCAACCAGTCTGAACAGAAATACTTGAAATTTATTGGAAATAATTATAAAAAGAAACTAACTGAAAAATAACGATCATCTCCGTATACTATTGAACGATGTTTCAGGAAAACAGAAACATGATTGTATAGGATATGATAAAGTGATTTCACCAGTATTTCATTGATACTCAGTTTAGTACTAATCAACTTTCAACAGTTGAATCCACGAGTCAGTCTAAGCTATACCAGCATTAAAAACTTGGAAGCACTGGATGGCCGTTTCGTCCTAGTATGGGGTTCCCCATCAGTGTGTATCCACACACTGATAATAACCGACTTATTAGTGTGATCGATTATCAGTTAATAAGTTCATTTATACTCGATGGAATGCTACATATTATCATTTCATCTAAAATGGTTAAATGAGAAATTAAATTCGACTTAGCTTCTATTAACTCTGAAATGATAGTTGATAAAATGTAATATCTTGTTAATTGGAGGTCTATAATAAGCCTCTAAATATTTGAATTTTCATCATCGTATTTATATTGCCACAAGAAACTAATCATCTTTTATTGTTATTGGAATAATCTTCATTTAGTTCACAATATATCAATTTAGATATATTCTGTTACGTAACTGAGTAAACTATGGTGTTTTCAGTATGTAAATCTTATATAAATGGACAATAATGTTGCTAATTAGATCCTCATCAGGCATTACTCTAATATGAAATGATATTTATATGCATATATGGAAATATTAAACCAATCAAGGGAGTTTGTGATTCAAGGATAACAGTAGAATAGATCACATAAATAACCATAATAAGTAAAAAGTACAAAAGCAAAGAATATCTGTGGGAACAATCATTTTCAGTAACTTCGTCATCAGGCTCTATAATTATAAATTCATAATATTTGTGTTACATTATAAAGGATAATATAAGGCATGCTAGTTAATTAAACAATGTTGGTGAACTTTGCATCGCTTACAGCATAACTACTTCAAAACTGCCACAAGTAAATTAGATAGATCACTCAATAAATGTCAGAATGATTTGTTGTAAAGTGTCAAGTTACAATCAATATGATAGTGATACGATAAATCGTGTGATAAAGTGCATAGTAGGATAATTTCGTCTTGATGATGGAGATAATAATAACAATAGGGATGATAATAATAATAATGAACAACTTAGTAAAATAGAATCACATTAAACCGATTGTGGTTAAAATTTGTATTCTCACCTACTCACTCTCTAGTCCCTTGTTTTTAGTGTCGTTTGAGAACATCTTCCTACCTTTACTTGCAAGATATCTAACTAAGTTTCTCTTGCAATGAATGGGCACAAATTTTAAAGTGTGTACTGGCTTCCTGAAGAACTTCTTCCATACACACTTCTAGTGATAGAACCGTTTTGCTTTCTGTTTAATAAGACGTTAGAGAAATGTAATTTGTTATCAAGTTTCTCTTCACATGTGAATCTGATTACTGAGTACATATTTTTAGTCACTTTCATAGTTATTCTTTTTCAATATTTTGATTGACGATAGTAAAGTATCACCAATCTAACGGCTATTAAATTCAAGCTTCTAACAATCTGTTTTAGAGGTCCGCTTTCTAGTTTCAGGAAGGACACGACCTAGAAGAGAACCCATTGACATTTCATCGATGTATCTGTGATGTGTATGATTGAAGACAAAATGAAGGTTCATTGTACATTTCAAAAGTAATTCTATAAAGCTAACCCCGGAAATTCCAATATTGGTTTATTATTTGTGTAGCTGTCGACTCACTGATTCAATTGTTTCCGTTTACGTACATTGGTGGGCTATGGTGCATCATCTAGAGACATCATTTATTCCGCAGTTTAGTCTTCATGTTCTCCTTTAGAAATGAAATCAAAAAAACCTCTAGCGCTCCTATTGACGATTATTTCGTATAGGCGATACAGGATTCCTTGTTGATTTAACTGCACTCAATTCCTTGTCGGTAGTTTATATCAGTAAGTTACCTAGTTTATTTTATTATAACTAAGTTCCACATCATTGATTTTTGTATGCCATTTTGTTTAAAATCATTTCTAAGTGACAAACATCTAGAAGTAAATTGGAATTGCGTTCTATTCAATTAGTGTCCAGTGTTTACTTTTATTTGATAGCTATCTGAATAACTTATGAGTTTATGACCATCCTGTAAAAACTTTCACTTAACTGATAAACGGTTTTGTTCATAAATGATAAATTGAAAGACCCTTATAGTAGATGAATTGACGGTGAATATAAAGTTATAGTAAGGTGGATAAAATAAAACGACTGAAAATATGTACATTCTTGATTAAAAACTGATGTAGAATAAGCACTGAACTAAGGTTTTTTATCAGCAATGATCAAAAATGTTTTGTTCACTATTCTGAAACATTGAATGCATCTATTAACTGCATTCCTTGATGATAGAATTTATGAGAATTGGACTTTGCATAAGTGCGTTTCAGATAGATGATAAAATCGCCTACTAAGGTTTCGGTGACCATATACTTAATTTTATAACCAAGCATTGTGAACATTCTTAATAATACTGATAATTTTAAAATAAACTTACCTAGACTCAGTAGATTTGTAACACTTACGTAGCCGAAAGTTGTCAGTACGGCATTCGATGTAACGAATTCCTCCGTATTTATTTTGTAGCCTTCTGGATAGGTAGCAAATGTTGGAGGTAGAGTTAAAGATATATGTCCAATCGAAGCACTGTATTGATCAGTGCTGAATGTGAACTATCAAACAAATCAGTACATATAACTGGTAAGTTTGTCTGTATGTGGTATTCGATAATGAGAATGTTCAGTTTTTTGATGATATTATGAATGAAGGGATATATATATATATATATATATATATATAATTTTAATACCTGACACATTTATTCACTATCCTACAATAAACTGAATAATTTTCGAGCTTGGAGAAACTACTTTTAGGCAATGAATTTATATAATTCATAATCGTCTAATGTAAATCGAAATGATTTGGTAATATACATAATAATTGAACTTTATATTAAAGTTTATTTGCGATTAGCGAAACAATTTTTCATTGACTGCATCTGGCTAGTGCTGATAATGGAAGGTAAGTAGAAAACCTTGGATACATTTCTATACTGCTTCTACTGTATGGTGATTCTGTCTGCGAAGAAAATCTACTATGGAAATGTCTTGTGCATTCAGTTCACATGTGTTGTTGTATGTTTATACTGATTATCTGTAGATCGAAAACAACAAGGAACATGTTTTTGTTTTTTTGACGGATAATTTTGTGCAAAATGTGCACGATTTAAATGAATAAAACTGACTATAAGAATCAATGAACATTTACTTCTTGATTCTATGCATTACAAGTCTTCCGAGATTACTTTCCAAAACCGAGATAGTTCGACAATTTAGGTGTTTCGGTTAAGTTAACCAACATTGATGAACTCAGTCTTAAAAAGAGAAAAAGGGTTATAATTAATTAAATCACTCCAGTTTAGCTAGGTAACAATACTGATTGATGAGAATAGTTTGGAAATAATCACCTCACTTAAGCGACTCCTGTACACTATGAAATATCCATTAATGAATCAAGTATATACATGGGATTAAAAAATCATTAGGCAATATGAATAAATTTTGATATTCATATCTTGTGGTTCATTCAGTGAAATATGTTTGTGAACAAAATCAGAGTAGGATTAATTAGATTGCTTACACTCATTATAAGTTTTGCAATAATCTAACATAGTGTAACAGTGAGATATGTTTCATCTATGACCATATGATCAAAAAGTACATCCATATATTACATAAATTTATAAATCGTTTGAATGATGCTACAAGTTGTCGATTGTCGATTTCTATCCAAATAACACTATCATATAAACATGATAATATAGGAGACTGAATGCAAGTGATTTAGAGGATTCAAGAAGAATTATTAATAATTATTATTTATTTTTATTAGTATCATTATTTTTTATCGAAATCAGAGTACTAATAGGTTATGAAATAGAAATCTAGTTAGCAAGTCATATACTTAGAATAACCATCATCGAATTCCTTTGATATCCAGAAACGATTTTAACAGGATTTATTCTGAAACATCACTAACTGATTCCCAGTAACTTTTTTCACAAAAACCCTGTTTTCTAAATTGATCCATTCCATTTTCTATTCTGCAGAGAATCTCAAATTCGAAGGTATGATCATATAGAGCATTAAATAAATATCATTCCATTTATTTATCAATATGACATTGATTTATTCAAACTGTTCTCTGTCAGTTTTAATTCTAACATGGCTGACCCATTTTTCAACCAATCAGCTCTAATTGATGAAAGGAAGCTAGAGTATCCCTATTTTAAGTTTACATACATATACAACTGATATTTTGTTATTTTATTCCTTTGAAATATATATATGATTTTGTGTCAGTGGTGTTTAGAATCAGGAGCCAGTCAAGTAAATTGAAGTCTCCAAGAATATTAGACAGTAGAAGAATTCGAAGCATGATAAGAAGACTTAATACTTCCCAGCATCTGCATCTCTGCTGAAACATTGTGGGCTTTGATACGGCAATCGACTTAACGTTAATGATAAATGAAAGTTGATAACTTGAATAGTTTGAACTGTAAGAAGTAGCTTATTTACGTTAATCAACAGCAAGATTATATTATTGCAGGGTAACAAACTACGAAGATACAATCACGAATATTGGTTGTATGAGAAAAATGAGTATTACATTTAACAAATTAATTGACATACTTGAAATAAATATCGAATAGCAACACTGGCTGATTCAAATGGCTAAGTAATCTAAGTAACCTACAAACGGATTTTATTAAGTAGCCCCATCTGAAAGAGAAGTTAGTGTCTGGTAGTGAGAGAAAACCAACCTTCATTTATTGTTCAAGTAAACTATCTTTCAACATGAGACTTAAGTTCAGTATGATGAAGTGCGAAGGGATGTTTTACATCGACCTGTATCATAGTATGAAACTATTGATTATATGGTGCTCTTTGTAAAACCTCTCTGTATGTTAAAATACATCCTGAAAAACACATCATGTAATTCGATAAAAGCATTATGCAAACAACAAAACTCTTATGCAAGTATATCAATCCTAACTTACCGTATAATCTCCTATTGGTCTACTTATAAAGAAGTTCACAGAATAATCATAGACTCCACCATAATTAACCGACTGAGGACACTTTATGAAATTAACTGCATCATATTGAGTTGGACAGTTTGAAGAGACAACCATGGAAAAATCCACGGTAATTTTTGGAGTCAGTAATGCTTCCGTTGTAACTACTAAACTGGCACCCATTGGAGGAGGCGTCCTTTCAGGAAAAAGACCAGTTTTGAATCTCATCCTAATACTGAAGTTCTTCTCATCATCCGCAGGAGCAGATGAAACGAGTATTTGACTTGTCATTACGAAACTTGAAGGCTAGGAGAAAAGCATTAGACGATATATCAGCTTCATGAGAGACTGTTAACTAAGGGTTATACCTATACACATAGTGAATTCAGAAAACCTGATTGTGTCTACATAATTTAATTCGAATTATCTAGGGATTTCTCATTTTTATACACATTTAATGCTTGTTAGACGAGGTGTATTTTACTGTTAGTAAACATGAATCAAACTGGTCTGTTTAATATGTTTCCATGAGAAACGTTTATGTACATAACCATGTGCTTTAGAAACCTACTACATATGCTTCATTATTTGCTGAATTGTAGTATCAATGAATATCCATAACCCTGAGACTTTCACACAGTTTTCATCAAATCACAACGAACAACCTCTAGTGACAGGAATCAAGCGGAGTCATATGTATATTTACTTGTACATTCCCTGTTACACATACATTTACAATCTCTAACAGAAAATGCTGTAAACAGTAAAATTAATCAAACTACATTCATATCCTTACCGAGGAATTCTTGTTCAAGTATGTGAGGTTACTGAACTTCACAGGATAATTATTTGCTATATTTGAACCGTTGTAGTAAGCAAACAAATATTGTATATATCCGTAATAGACATTATTTAGAGACGGACCAGAAAATTTCATGATCAAACTATTATTTCCAGGTGGAAGGACAATTACCGAATCAATAAACCATGTATCGAATAGACAATAATTTGGATTATCTTGGATGTATACTCTGGAAAATGTGACATCGATAGTATTCGGTGGAAGTATGGCGCCCTATAAAGAAGAAAAAATGACATTACTCATCTGAAAACCTCAAATCATAATTATTCTGGATAGTACACATCATGGTTCTATATCTTACTGTGCACATTTGCTTAATCGTATCACAACGTCCTGATGAAAACACTATTTTATTTCATTAACATCGGAATTATTAAATCGAGTTCATTAATGAATGAAGGTTGCAATCTGAAACACCACATTGTTTTGTAAGATAAATCAATGTGAAATACATACGAATTCAAAGACGATTATGCCTACTTATAATTCTTATTACTACCATTATTTTAAATAGTTTTCATACTTTTAAGTTAGCATTTTTGACAAAAATAATTATTCGTAGCGTTTTATGAGAGTTTGACGTTCATCTGACTTGTAGGTTATCTCCAGTGGTAGCATACCACTAATCGCGTTGATATTCTGCTGCTGCTGTTGTTGTTGTTGTTGTTGTTTGAACATCAAGGCTCAGAACTATGAGATAAGATTTGAAGAACCATTGATCATATTATTATGCTTGTTTCAAAGAAACAGGTTACTACAGTGTCAATTGAAACAAGTCATGAATCTCTTTCAGTGACAGCTTACCAATTGTGAAATCAATGACAAAAACTGCAGTTTCATTTTAAAAAATACTACAATGAACAAAAATCATACCCTCTTGACTGCAGTGATTTCACTTCCTGTTTCTTCGTCAGAATAATTTTCATCAATTAAAATGTTGACCGTTGCATCATCAGATATATTTAGTGAAGTATTTGCATTCCTAACTGTCACTTGAAAAGTGATGGTGTGATTATTCTTCATTGTTTCATAATCACTTTCAATTACTTTCAAAATACCAGTTGTTCCATCGATAGCTACTGGTAAGTAGTTTGAACCAGATACAATGTTAAATCGAACACTTCCACACGATGCTAAGGAGGAGTTTTCATCACTCAGAGAAAGACTACCAATCAGACTTCCATTGATCCAGATAGAAAACTTGGTTTCGAAGGTGAATACTGTCTGAGTGAATTTTGGAATTCTATGTACTAGAATGGTAAGAATATAATCTCTACAAAGTTAATATTTCACAATACATATGTAAATGAGAAATGAGTTATGAATCATGGAATGGACAGTATTTCTTCAACTGTAACCAATGCACAATGCAAATGATTGAACGTTTTTACATATAGATGAACAAATTCATGAGGAGATTTTGCTTTTAGTTGACCAACTGTTGATTTTCCAAGATTTCTTATAACAAGATGCGAAGTAAATTTGACTACAAGCTTATCAAGAAGTGTGAATTATTATCCATTCAGTGTAATGTTTATTTCTTATACAAGTAATGTAGTTAATAAAGAACTCGGGTGTGGAAGACAAATTTATTGTTCAATGCAAAATTACAGAGCTTTTCCATGAAATGTGAAAACCATACATTGAACACTTCATTTCCGAATCCTACATCATTTATCCTTACCTCATTCATGATTCATCCATCTCTCAGTCCCTTCATGCTTCCCCATTCTGTTTTTTCAGTGCTATTTTCTCAAGCTTCTTTTGACAGGCATCCAATTTCTGATTGGTCTATATACTACTTATGTCAACAGGCTAAAGTAGAATACACCTTATGAGCTTCAGATAAGAGTATTTACCATCATCTCGAAAAAGAAAAGGATAGAATGTAACCAAATATTTATAAAACCGAACAGAAAATTATCTTGTTATTAGTAATATTGACTAGTTAAACCATAAATGACTGACTTACCTCGTTCTTCACAGGTTTTCCCGATCCAACATGTATTACATACACACGTTCCATTAATGCAGTGACCATTAACACAGTTCCTAGTAAAAAATATTGTGTATTACGATCTTATACACACCAGTAATTTAGAATATGTATGTAAGTGAAATTTGTTATGGATGTTTCATTAACATTAGTTTTAGTGCGTGAAACCGACTTGCGAAGAAAAACATTTTTATGTTAATAAAAATCAGTTATTTGAGTCTGAAGATGTGATAACAAGGTGTATACTTAGTACAACAAACTTTTTTCGATACATTAGCTAAATATATCGGAATTTGTACTATTTGGATATGACCTGGTCATCCCAAAATCGTAATTTGATGAATATCTCTGCATAGTGTAGTACTTCTACAAGCTTCTCCATCTTGCAAAGTTCGTAAATCGAAACTAAGAGTAAAGGGCTTTGAATATGATTTCAATACGAAATCGCTGACTGTAGTTTCTACACAATCAACAACAGATGACTAAGATCTACGGTTTGTTCATTCAGTTCAACCACAAACGAAACCGAAAATAATGCCAATAATTAGCCCGAAATTCTTGAGAATTGTGCTCAGCTTACTTTTAACTATCATTCTTATACACTATTGATGTGATATTCCAAACAAACAGAAGCGTCAGCAAACATGCTCATATCAAGATAACGCATTAGCATTAATGGCTGACTAAAGATCAACTAAGTCCCATCCTTATTTTAGACAGTCTAAATATTTTAAATTGCTTTTCGTATATTACTGGACAGTTTTCGCACTTACCAAAAATATTAAGATTATTAAAATCAACAATCAGTGAAACTATTTCCGAAAAAGAAACTGATTTGTTAAAGTTCAAAATCAAGCAACTGAATTTATGGATACACTATTTCGAGAAACTTTATCTTTAGCACTGTCTTTCATTGGACGTTATATTGAAAGTTATATCATTCAAATGGTAGGTCTTCAGGCCAATACTCTTAATTAGTTTAGAACCGTCATTTAAACTAATCAAGTCGAGACGTGTTTAGTAGTTCTGATTACTTAAATCTTTTCTATGGGCTTTCTATGTGTTAGCTTCTAGAGGTGATCCTTTCCTCATTTGATTTGTTATCAATTAGTTGCCTGTCTTTAGGCAGAGGTACCGATTTAAATAGTCTGGTAAAATGTTTATGGATAGTTTGCACAGTAATCATTTGCAATTTAGTTCACGTATATCGAATGGTAGAACAAACCTGTTTGGGATGTAGTATTGATAAAGAAAATTGAAGATATTGCTCTACTACTTGTTTGTAACACAGTTTAATTTGACTGTGATTATAGTTGACCGCTTCCTCTATCGTTTGAGTCACATTAATTCAATTTGACTAGCGATTCCGAATTCTATACATAAATAGTTAATAACTGATGTCTATACTGTATACCACAAGTGAAATAAATGTCATGTAACTGCTCAGTACAAACAATTATACCACATTTTGTGTTACTTATGCATCTATATCACACAGAAATTTGTTAGGTGGTTGAGGATAGTCGATAGGAAACGCTGGTTGTGTATTGTTCGGGGCTTGTTAGCAGCTAAGTAAACCATAGATTTAGGTCACCACTAAGAACTAAACATACATGTTATTAACGATTATTCTATAACCAAGCAGTGTAAGCAGATGACTACAGATGAACAATATTAACAAGAAAGTAATGATAAATAACTGATGTCGACTGAATACATTTTGTCACTTATCTTCTGATTTCTGTTTATTAACAAACCTCTAATCAACTAAGGACACTTAAAGAGAAAAGTGTAAATATTTATTACCATCACTACTATGATCATAAACCATTAATATTCTATCAACAGACTTACGATGAATTATTTTCACACAATTTTGAGGATTGTTCAAATGATCCATGAACTACTGAATGCAATATATTAGTTTAAACCTAAACAATCACTCATCAACTTACAAACAGTATGAATCAGTATAATGATCAAATCTGTTGGAATTCTTTGATAGACGATCATTATGTATGTATGTGAAAATGTAAGTCAAACGAAGGTGATGATGATGATGAAATTTTGGGTTCAACTTTGTTTAAAATATTTTCGGATGATTTAACTAATTTCAGTCAGTAGCTAAATTAATTTCAAGTAAAGCTGAATTCATTTAAATAGTTGCAAAATATGTAGTCGTTTCAGCCAATCAGAATGCAGTCACTGGGTTTTGGGTAGTTGCATCTATTTATTCTAATCCCTAATAACAAAAGAAATCTATTGACAGTCCATATATTTGTCATATGAATGGATTTTTCAATAAAAAATCTTAAACACTCCAATAGCAACAATTATTCTTACATACTCTTATACTGAAGATGATTGACAAGTCTTTAGTATTTTGGGCGATAGTGAGTTGAAAGTATGAAGTGAACCTGAGACTGAACTGTGATACACTGTACTACTTGCAAAGTTGTCCTTAAGGTAAATGAAAAAAGCTAACACTTTGGTAACCAGGTGATTGAAAATAACAATGTTTTACGTTGACTTGATAAGTGAGCAATACAAAATGGTGTTCTATAAGAGGTCGTTGATATCTTGTTTTATTTAATACATCGATTGCCCTTTATTGAAACAATTCATATCTGTCATATTGTAATAAAGCATTGATATAATTTAGCCTGCAGATAATTTAAGGATAACAAATTGAATGAATATAAGACACCGGTATTTAGGCGTTTTCTATTGTCTATCTGGTATGCTCCAGTGAATAAAGGTTCTTTCACCATTATTTTCATTGTTTATTACGTTACGGAGAAATAGTAATTAAAGTGAATTAACTCTCCGTGTCACATCTTGGAACTGTTTGTAATAAATAACTACAATAAGGAACAAGAATTAAGGTGATCTACCACCATGTTAAACTCACCCTTTATAATAGTGTGGTTAAAACTGTTGGTTGCTTTTATTAATTCAACTGAAAAATGTATTTATATGTTGGATTAATTACAGTCAATTAGTTCCCACTGTTTCATTCCGAGTTTGAATTTCTCAGATGCACCAACGTAGTTCAACTAAGAGAAATGTTTTCCAGTCAAAGGTGTTGCCATCACATGTCTCATTGAAAACACTAAGTAGTGAAACAACACTTTGCACTCTTGCTCAGTTTGAGTTACTGGATATAACATAGATGACCACAATTCTGTGAAATAGGGGTAGAAAATGATTATAAAGATCAAGCTATGTTTAGCACTGCATTTGTGAAAATATTTAGACAAATTTATGTGGATTTCACCAGTAAGAAATGGTCACGAAATAGGTGACGACAAAATTCTCGACCATCATAGCTTTCTGATACGCCACTTGTCTCATAAAGACGTGATTTGTCAGAACAAACAAACAGCAAAATATTGCATACGAAATTAATTGACAATAGGAAAAACACAACCTGACCTCCGAAAGCATGTGATCTGGTGACATTGCTGACAAATCACTGTCAAACATCTGAAACACGTTCAATTAGATGTGTATGATTTTCTACTGTCAAATCTCATTTTCGGATTTAGCAGTTCAGAAGTCCACATTATCTAGGGATTTTAGACTGTACATCTTAATCTCAATCTAGATATTTTGTTTCTTTCTATTTATCATTTTATATGCACATAGTCAGGACTACTTATCTAGGCAGTAGAACGGAAATTTCATAAACTACAAAATTGTATTTTATAGAATCCAACACCTGAGTAGTACTGATTAATCCTAACGTTTCCAATCACAATAACCTAAAAGCTATTCAAAATCCGATTTACAATTTCACACTAAGTAACATTGACTCTCCACACTCACATATTTTGGAATACGACTATACTTTCACAAACAGAAAAACTTCATTGTCAAACGCTGTTCAGTTAGAACTTATACTCGTAGATAAATCACCTGAACACACACGAAAATGGAAAGTTTTGGGGGATGTTTGTGTTATTAATGAAGACATGTATTAGCATAATCCATTGTGTTAACTTCCACTTCAGGTCTGATAGTTATATGATAGTGAAATGTCTAAATAGATAGGATTACTTATGTCATAACCACACCAATGCCCACCAGATTAGACAAACTAAACTCTGCCCTGGGATTTGAAAGGAGACTTATGACGCCTCATGACGAAAGCAGAGATTGTTCAGAGGTCACAAGACCGACGCCACTTTTACCAACCAGAGCGACAATTTTTATAGGTACTCAGAACGTGTGGACAATGTGGGAGACCGGTAGGACCAGTCAAATAGCAACGAAACGAGGAGATACAACTTGGCAGTACTCGGAATCAGTGAAACCATTGGACCCAACCTGGACAGAAAAGAATAGATCCGGGAGAGATACTGCTGTACTCTGGTCACAAAGAGGAATCTGCGCCACACGCTCAGGGAGTTGCGCTAATGCTGTCCAATGAAGCACGAAATGCATTTATATGATGGGAATCTCACGAGTCCAGGATCATCAAAATATCATTTAAAACAAAGAAGGACGTAGTCACGATTAATGCTATCCAATGCTATGCAACCCCCCCCCCAATGATAGCAACGACGACAATAAGTATCAGTTCTATGAGAGCCTGCAATCAATCATAGAGAAATGACCTAAACGCCAAAGTCAGAATGGACAACACCGGATATAAAGCTAGCAAGGGAGGACATGGACTGGGAAAAAGAAATGAAAATGGGAAGAGATTTGCAAATCTATGTGCATTCAACAAATTGTTTATAGGCGGCACAAAATTGCCACACAAACGCATACACAACGCCACATGAGTCTCACCGGATCACACCAAGGAGAACCAGATCGATCATATTGTATTAATAAGAAAACCAGAAGGTCAATGGAAGACCTGAGGACCAGTAGAGCTGAAATAGATCCAGATCACCATCTACCTGAGTGTGATCAAGGTGAAACTAAAGCGAAAGAAGCATTGGACAACTGGAAAAACAGCATTACAAACACTCAATACAACCTTCCTTCCAGATACTAGCAAACTCAACCAATTCAAGATAACTCTCAACAACACGCCACAAGCCTCACAGGATCTACTGAAAGAAGAAGAAACTACCATGGAGGACAACTGGAAAGGTATCGAACAAGCATTAACTTCAACGTATCAGGCAGGAGATTGTGGGCCGCAACAAGCATCATCATAAGGAATTCATCTCTATGCAAACCCTGGACACGACTAAGAAAGGAGGAACAGGAAGACCGCAATTAACAATAATGGTCGAACTAGAACGGAGAAAGTCAAGTCATAAGCTGAATACACTGGAGCGAATAAACAAGTGGAGAGGAGCATTATAACTGAAAAACAGAAATACGTGGAAGAGCTGCGAGAGAAGGAAATATCAAACAACGATATGATACTACGAAGAAACTAGTAGGGAAATATAGTAAACCAGAGAGACCGACCAAGGACGATGACGGCAAGACGATCACTGAGATTCAAGAAAAGAGGAACAGATGGACAGAATACTTCGAGGAGCTCTTGAATAGACCAGCTACATTGAATCCACTGGACATCAAAATGGCACCTACGGATCTCTCTATTAGATATCACCCCAGCGACGGAAGAAATCAGAATGGCTATCAGACAAACCAAGAGTGCAAAAGCAGTAGGACCTGAAAATATACCAGCTGAAGCTCTGAAGTCAGACATAGAAGCGACTGCAAAGACACTCCACGTTCTATTCAGGAAGATTTGAGAGGAAGAACAAGTGTCGACAGACTGGAGGGAAGGACATCTCAACAGGATACCAAAAAAAGAGATTTGAGAAAATGTGAAAACTATAGAGGCATCACACTACTATCGGAACCAGAAAGTTTTTAATAGTGTTGCTGAACCGGATGAAAAATTCAGTAGACGTCCAACTACGAGACCAACAGTTTGGATGCCGAAAGGATCGATCGTGGACATACTAGATTGTAACATTACGGATCATTGTTGAACGATCAATTGAATGGAACTCGTCACTATGAACCAACTACCTTGACTGTGAGAAGTCGTAGGACAGTGTGGAGAGGAGAACCTTATGGAACCTTCTTCGACGCTATGGTGTACCTGAGAAGATAGCCAATATCATACGGAATTCATTCGGCGGACTATAGTGCAAAGTGGTGCACGTATGATAGCTGACAGATGCATCACAAGTGAGGACCGTAGTCAGGTAATACTGTATACTCTCCCCTTTCTCGTTCTTCTGGTGGTCGACTGGGTTATGAAGACCTCGACATCTGAGGGAAAGTGCGGAATACAGTGGACAGCTCGGAATCAATAGAATTGGACTTTGTGGATGACCTGGCTCTTCTACCCTATACATACGAACAAATCCAACTGAAGACAACTAGAGTAGCAGAAGGAAAAAGCAAGATCCTCAAATACAATACGGAGAACACCAACCCAATCACACTTGATGGGGAAACTCTGGAAGATGTCGAATCTTTTACGTACGTTGGAAGCATCATCGATGAACAAGGAGGATCGGATGCAGACGTAACGACGAAGATTGGCGAAGCAAGAACAGCATTCCTACAATCGAAGAACTTATACAACTCAAAATAACTCTCAACCAACATTAAGGTCACAATCTTCAACGAGAACGTCAATACAGTTAGTTCTGGAAAGAATTGCCCAGGACAGGGTTGGACGGAGAATGATGGTGGGCAGCCTATGCTCCTCCAGAAGAGGTAACATGTGTAAGTACATTTCACTACTGAGAAGGTATAAAACGACGATTCTCACCAAGATAATACTTTTGTAGAAACTGAAATGAAATAAATAAACATATACTCGTTACTCAACGAGTTTAGGATAATTTCCTGTCAGTATGGAGCACCAGTACTTGCTTATTCTATTACTAACTTTCATAAAGATCTGGCCCTTTTCCTGATAGAAATAGTGCTGGACAATGCATAGTATTTTTGGTGCAAATGTTAAAGGTAGAATCACTGTTAATTGATGTACAATTCTAGGATTTCAAGGTTACTTCGAAATACCGTTACCCTTAATTAAAAACAATATCCTGTGCGGTGTCAATCTGAATTACTATTTCTATATTTCATCTTTGTTTGTATACAGTTGTTGATTGGTGTTTTGAATCCGATTCCTTTACTTTTCACCTTGTTAATTTATTTTCTTCGTAATGATGTTAAAATTACAAGTGATCTTAAAGTAATTTACAGATACACTGACATTTCAACTAAGGTCAATCCGTAGCTGCTACCTTGCCTATCGTGATGACGCAACCGAGCTATATTGGCTGGAACATATGTTCCTGCAGGTTCTACCATGCCAGGCAGGTCGATTGGAGAACGGTAAGACTAAAAGCAGCAACTCAAGGTCTGAGGGAAGTCGTACTGCTGACTGTAGAAGAATGTGACAGCACTAAGGTGTTTTCCTCGGACAACCAGCATCTGCAGCGGTGCTGCCTTCTCACGAGGAGGGGAGAGGTTAGAAAAGGTCGACCCTAAAAGTGTCACACCTCAGCTTACCTCACGGATTTCCGTCTCCAGCGGTAGGGCCCTTTGATGAACGGAGCTAACACATTAAAAACCTTCCACGAAAAGGCCGTGCGCAACTGGCCTCAAGCAGTTGTCCTTCGGGCTCTGAGGTCACGCTCCCAGGTCGTTAAGACCAACACTAATCCAATTTCCTTTTCAGATTCCTCAAGAAATACCCTTCCACGGTGTAGGCAGCCGGGAAGTGATATCAGCCCTCATACCCGTAACAACACACAAGACCAAGTTGGTCACATTTAAATCCTCCCTACACCTCCTAATACCTATCTTATCTCCATGACTAACCCTCCTCGTCTCTTTATCACCCAGCACCGCTAGGGCAAACGATTAGAGTACGCGGAACGCTATTCATGGTCATGGACATCCGAAAAACTGTGGAAACAGTAGTGACGTCTGCAAGTACGGTAAACCATAAGGTAAGGGAGAAACACTGGATCACAGCAGCATCTACAGCACTGATAGATGCTAGAAAACTCTTCCCATTTGGCTCTAAACATGACAAAGAGCGGAATCAACTTAAGCGCAAGCTGACAAGAAGTCTACGCAATGATCGTGAACAGTGGTGGGTAGCGAAAGCAAGAGAGATGGAAAAGGCAATGGCAATAAGTAACAGCAGATAACTGTTCAGACTTGTCAATGAAACCGGTATTAGGAAACCGACTGTTAGCGAAACTATCTCGGAAAAAGATGGACATATTATTCATTCTCAATCCAGGAGATTGGATCGATGGGCAGAACACTTTAGGGATCAGTTCAACTGGCCTTCAGCCACACATCGGTTTCCCACGATCTCCAGTCGACCTGAATGGAAAGTTGACGTAAGTCCTCCAACTCTCTACGAAGTTGAAAAATCTATGGGGAATCTGGAGTGAGGGAGAGCAGCAGGTCCTGACAGGTTTACCCTTGAGATTTTTAAGGATGATGTTTCAGTATTAGCAGCAAGATTGACTGAGGTCTTAAGCAGAACCTGGGAACTGGACGTAATCCCATCTGACTGGTCTCAATCACTGATTGTGCCGGTCTATAAGAAAGGACAAAAGTTCTCTTGTGACAATCACAGAGGAATCAGTTTGACTAATATAGTGTCTAAAATATTAGTTTCAATAATTCTTCGACGCCTAACTAAAGCTCGTGAAGAACAGACTAGAGAAAATCAGGCTGGTTTTCAACCTGGACGTGGTTTTATAGACCAGATATTCACACTATGTCAGGTCCTAGGACATAGACACACACTCAGACGCCCCACAATCGTAGTATTTCTCGACTTTAAGGCGGCATTCGACTCTGCTGATCGTTTCTGCGGAAGTGTTTGCCACTGAAAGGAGTACCAAAGAAGTACATTAACCTTGTAAAGGCTCTCTACTTGAACACAACTGGTAGAGTGAGAGCTTATGGCGAACTGTCATCAGAATTGATTACCTCAAGTGGTGTTCGTCAGGACTGTCCACTCTCTCCATTCTTGTTTAACTTTGTCGTTGACGTGCTTCTAGAGATAACACTTTCCTCATCTGAATTTCCAGGGGTTGAACTTCTACCAGGAGATTCACTTGTTGACTCAGAATATGCTGATGACATAGTTTTATTTGGTGAAGACGCTGACAAAATGCAGTCTTCTGACCACTCTAAGTAACAATGCAAGCATGTTCGGGATGCGATTCTCTCCCTCGAAATGCAAAATGTTGCTTCAGGATTGGGTTACATCGACACCCGAACTAGTGATAGGCAGTGAAGTAGTTGAGTGTGTCGACCGCTTCACTTATCTTGGAAGTCTCATCAGCCCTTGCGGTCTGGTGTGTGACGAAATCTCAGCACCGATACAGAAGGCTCGACTAGCTTTTGCCAACATGCGTCATTTATGGAGTAGGCGAGATATCCGTCTATCAACCAAAGGACATGTTTACTGCTCAGCAGTTCGTTCCGTCCTACTTTATGGCAGTGAAACATGGCCGGCAAGAGTAGAGGATATTCGTAGGTTACTAGTATTTGATCATAGGTGTCTTCGAAACATTGCTCGTATATCCTGCGACCACCGGATAAGTAATGCAGTTGGTAGGAAACAGGTACTAGGTAAGGATGGCAAATCCATTGATGAAGTAGTGAAACTTCATCAGTTGAGATGGCTGGGACATGTGTTACGTATGCCCAACCACCGACTACCTCGACGTGAGATGCTTTCTGGTGTAGGAGTACGTTGTAAGAAAGCTAATGGCGGTCAGACTAAAACATGACACAAATCCATGAAGTCACTGACAAGTGAACTGAGCTATGTTGGTAGGTGTAGACTACCTGGTTGGGGACCGCGAGATGATAGCAGCCGATGGTTAGAGACGTTGAATGACATGGCTCAAAATCGTTGGCAATGGCGCAGGTGCATACACTCTTTGTGTTCTCCCAAATTCTAATCTTCTGAATTCCTCATGTCCCTTATTTTCATTCCAAATTTCTTTCACTGGATTATACTCCTTGAATAACATCTTAAAACCCTAATCTTTCCGATTACTGCTTATACTCTTGCTACCTCTACCACTACGGGATTTCGATCGACAAATACATCTCTGTGCTAATGTGGCATGGCAATTAAAACTGATTTACGTACGTACGAAGTTCTACGTTATTACTTACTGACTTTAGACTTTATCAAGTCATGTTGTAATATTTCACTGGGAATAGGAGTAGTGAGGACTTTACAACAAAGATATTTTTGATTACCACTTACAACGAATAAAATAATTCTGTAAGGAATATGAGAGAAATTTTATTTTAAAAATATGTCCTTGGTTGATTTGAGTATATATAAAAACAAAAGTAAAACTAGTCCCTGACAAAAACGTCCCTCATTTATTTTGAAATACCCACATTGTCATCGTCTACGCTTTGGAGTTGGTGACCGTGAAACTGAATGTAGCCCGGACCTGCTAAAATAATAAACAAAGATAAACTATTTAAATTATAGATTTTCACATAAACAGGAAAAATACATTGATATTTTCAGGTAAAGACTCCAGAGAATATTACGAAGAACTTATATCATACAATCAAAAAACTAAGATGAAATTTTTAACAAACGGTCGTTCCTATGTACTGATTTCCATGTATTTCTTATTTCTAATTATCCAAATGAATACGACAAATATGCTCAATAAATGTAAAAATTTCATGATTTTCTGAAGATTTTATACTATTTGAAGGTAATTGTCACCACAGACTTATATTAACTAAGCCATATGGCTTTGAGTTATCTGGTTGCTCTTACCGAAACATGTACAGATGGAATTAGAACCTGTTACTTAATTGTTGAAAGGTGGGTTTATTCATCATTAAGCCACTGATCTCAACGGCACTGGACAAACATTTTGTTTCAGATAAGTGTTCTTCAGCCGAGGACATTGATGACCCAACTAGTTCTTTAGCAAAACTTAGTTAATGGTGAAAATTATTCTCGAATAAACATGATTTACGTTTTTGCCTAGGCATGATGCTGAGCCCAACGTATATGATTGGTTTACATCAATCCATAGCTCCAAGAAATGGATATTTTTGTCATATACTGTAAAACTACAACTATTGGTGTTTCTACATGAAAGAAATAGTTATCGATTGATCTATATTCTTTGTAAATCAAATATACCTCATGAGTATACGAACTGCAATGTATGCATAGTGAGTGATGCATTGTTACGATTAAAAAGGTATTAATCAACTGAAAAATAAACAATACTTATATGATTCAAGCACATTTTAAGTAAGATTCAATTGCTCAGAAGTCAGTCATTAAGTGAGGTGCTTACTTGACATGAGACAACTATACAAAGTATGAGACTTACGTATTAGATTGACGCATCTTTTCGGGAGACTGATTTGTAGAAGTGCAAGTTGAGCAATATGAAGAGGAACGTGAAGATGAGGATGAACAAGATGATGATGAAGATGAAGGGACATCTGGAAAGTGCTCGGAGAGATTTATGTTGTCTGCGATCTTCGCTAAATCAGGTCGATTAATTCTGAGAGCAGCTAACCACCTTTTAGCAAATTTTGGTCTTTTCCGTGCAGTTTTGTGCCATACAATAGGAAAGTTAGTAGAACTAGAATTATTAGGAAAGAAAAACTGAGTGGCCATTGACAAAGAATATATTTATTTGAACATATAAACATTGGTACAAAGGGGCACAAAATACATATGCACCACACAATAACAATGAGGCTAGTAGCAGTTATCATTAATTTGTGTGAGAGCTGTGATACTGCCCGGATGCCCAAACTGAAGCAGGTGGTTTTCTTAGAGGGTCACACCCGGAGCCTTTGACCTCAAGGTCTGATCCACAAGGCAGTGGGGCATCGTAAGGAGATTCATTCCCATGGTATCCAGTGACCAATGATTGGTTCGTACACTATTTGT